CTATGATAAAAATTACAGACCTCTACATGCTTTGTAAGTAGGAAAACCTGCAAAATTGGCAGTGTATCAAATACTTGTTCTCCCCACTGTATGCTGAGAACTTGTTGGCTGATTTTCCTTCACTCTGCAGTCCGACTCATCCCAAACCATCTCAATTGGGTTGAGGTTGGGGGATTGTGGAGGCCAGGTCATCTGATGCAGCACTCCATCATTCTCCTTCTTGGTCAAATAGCCCTTACACAGCCTGGAGGTGTGTTGGGTCATTGTCCTGTTGAAAAACAAATGATAGTCCCACTAAGCCCAAACCAGATGGGATGGCGTATCGCTGCAGAATGCTGTGGTAGCCATGCTGGTTAAGTGTGCCTTGAATTCTAAATAAATCACAGACAGTGTCACCAGTAAAGCACCCCCACACCATAACACCTCCTCCTCTATGCTTTACGGTGGGAAATACACATGCGGAGATCATCCGTTCACCCACACCGCGTCTCACAAAGACACGGCGGTTGGAACCAAGAATCTCCAATTTGGACTCCAGACCAAAGGACACATTTCCACCGGTCTAATATCCATTGCTCGTGTTTCTTGGCCCAAGCAAGTATCTTCTTATTATTGGTGTCCTTTAGTAGTGGTTTCTTTGCAGCAATTCGACCATGAAGGCCTGATTCACGCAGTCTCCTCTGAACAGTTGATGTTGAGATGTGTCTGTTACTTGAACTCTGTGAAGCATTTATTTGGGCTGCAATTTCTGAGGCTGGTAACTCTAATGAACTTATCCTCTGCAGCAGAGGTAACACTGGGTCTTCCATTCCTGTGGCGGTCCTCATGAGAGCCAGTTTCATCATAGCGCTTGATGGTTTTTGAGACTGCACTTGAAGAAATTTTAAAAGTTCTTAAAATGTTCCGTATTGACTGACCTTCATGTCTTAAAATAATGATGGACTGTCGTTTCTCTTTGCTTATTTGAGCTGTTCTTGCCATAATATGGACTTTGTCTTTTACCGAATAGGGCTATCTTCTGTATACCCCCCCTACCTTGTCACAACACAACTGATTGGCTCAAACGCATTAAGAAGGAAAGAAATTCAACAAATTAACTTTTAAGAAGGCACACCTGTTAATTGAAATGCATTCCAGGTGACTACCTCATGAAGCTGGTTGAGAGAATGCCAAGAGTGTGCAAAGCTGTCATCAAGGTAAAGGATGGCTATTTGTAGCGCCATACCCAAGAAGGCTATAATCGCTGCCAAAGGTGCTTCAACAAAGTACTGAGTAAAGGGTTTGAATACTTATGTAAATGTGATTTTTCAGTTGTTTTTGCTTTGTCATTATGTGGTATTGTGTGTAGATTTAAGATCTATTTAATCCATTTTAGAATAAGGCTGTAAGGTAACAAAATGTGGAAAAAGTCAAGGGGTCTGAATACTTTCAAATGCACTGTAGCTAGCAAGCTAGCCAACTTTGGGTGCTTGACTGCTGTTGTGAGGTCAGAACGCTCGGACCAACCCTACTCCTTGGCCAGAGCATCCAGTGTGCGCTCTGATTGCTCCAAGAGCGAAACACTCTTAATTTACAAACGCCCAGAGCGCACTCTGGCACTCCAGAGTGAATTTATCAACACACATTTAGAATTGTTGAATGTCAAAAGATCAAAAGAACTTGGTTTCCACAGGAACAATAGCAGACAATGTTCAGAAATCATTTGAATCATAACAAAACAAAATAGTTATCCCACTAGAATATCTTATGTCATAAGGGCCTTCATCCATAGAACATGGTTGCCCCAGGAATGATGCCAAACAGAATGTTCAGAAATCACTTGAATTACAACAAAACCAAATGATCACTCACCATTTACTCTTGAAAGAAAGTGCCATGTTTCAATTCCCAACCTTGAAAAACCAACTTCTTCCTATCAGAATAACTGATGGCCTCTCTCCAGGTGAGACCTAGCTATCTCTTGAACTGAATTGATAGTCATTCAAGTGAAAGTAGCTTGCTTGGTAACCAAAATGTTGTGCTGTAAATTCAGGGAGAAACTTTCCCTCTGGGCTCAGACGTCATTTCAACATCTAGTTTTGATTTACATTTGGTTGAGTTGTCAACTAACGTGAATTCATTGTGAAATCAACAAAAAATGTTACCATGTTATTGGATTTAGGTCCAAAGTTGGGTGATAAAAAGACAAAATTCTCTTTTGGTGATGACTTTTTGCAAATCCAATTCGTTTTCCACATTGATTCAATGTCATCACATATAATTTTTTGTTCACATGATGTGGAAACAACGTTGATTCAACCACTTTTTGCCCAGTGGGTTGTTGACATTCCATATTCATCTCTGTCTAGTGTGTGACATGAGACAAATGAGCTCCTCAGCCATGCTGGGCCCCACTAGCATGCAGATGCAGGCTCCATACATGTGGCCTCAGCAGCCCAAGGGGACATGGGTCCACAGTCCTGCCCAGCTGTACTACCCACAGACATGGACAGTGAGGACCCAGGGCCACCTATCCCATTCTGCCACCCAGGCCCAGCGGGTGTCTGCCCAGTACATGCACAGTGCGCGCTGCTGGCTGCCTCAACACCAGCTACACCAAGACCAGCGTGCCACACAGTGGAGGCCTGAGTCAAACAGGATGGCCTACCAGGCTGGGGTCCCATGGTCCTACAGGCAACACCTCACAGGATGGCCCATGGATGCTATCTTCTCCACACCGCCCCAACAAGCCCCCACTGGCCTCCTCCCTCAGGCCGGAGACAGCAGTACTCACCTGGCCCCTCACCATCAGCTTGGAGGTCCCTTCCAGGCAGGCACCAACCACCCTCTGTTCGAGTTCCAGAGCTATAACCTCAGGGCTGCAAGAGTCTCCCAGGTCTCTCTGACCCAGGTCACTGGTCCCAGCCTGTCCCTGCAGGGGTTAGGGGATAGTTCCCTGCCTGCAGTCACCTCCCTGGAGGAGGCTATGAAGATTTTTCACTGTGGGTCTGAAGATGAACCCAGCCAGCAGGCTGAGGCTGGGCTGAGTGTTCTGGTGCCACAGGGAGTGTTGTCCAGCCCCGCCCAGCAGGGTTCAGGCAGGGGTCAGTGTCCCTCCACCCTGGATCACTCCCTGGACCAGGATGACCTAGAGGCCTGTATGCAGCGCCTGCTGGAGTCCCAGGGATCAGAGGGGTCTGTGGGCATAGCCGCAGCAGGGAAGTCTGGCATGGAGTTCTTCTATGAGGTGGACAGCCTGGGCAGCCTGTGTGACCTCCAGCTGTTTGGACAGTGTGTGTCCAGCAGCAACACAGAGGAGGGCAGTGCCAACAACAACATGGAGAACTGAAATAACCACATCTTTTAGCCTTATTTTCATTACCAGGCATAGTATTATACATGTTATTTTTCATTACAAAAGCATTATAAAAAAAATGGATTGTTGAAAAATCAAAAGGACTCATGACTGCTTCCTTACTGAACTATCAAGTACTGTAGATTATATATTTGAGTGGGAAAACATTCTGCACATTAACACGTGATTAATCTTGACACAATCAAAAGATGAAGTAGAGATGAGGGCCATTAAGAGGGAGCAATGAGTCATAACAGTGTGTGTTATTCCCATGAGAGGCATAAAGAGTCAAATCCATTTAAATGCTCTACTTACTTATCCATCAAACACTATAAGGGTGGCACAGTGCAAATATAGGGAGTGTACTTGAATAACAAACTACTGTGTAAAGTATGTAGAAAGGGTAAAGTGAAGGAACATAATAGAATGCCATGATAAGCGAGAGGGAAGATTGAGTAACGCCATCTTCCCCAGATTGAGTAGTAGATGTTCCACACCACTGATGCTTTTGTAGGATCACTTAGCAACAGGACAGACACACACACACACACACACACACACACACACACACACACACACACACACACACACACACACACACACACACACACACACACACACACACACACACACACACACACACACACACACACACACAAAGCCTCTGATTACACAGAACTCATCACGAAACCAGGGCAATTACGAGGCTCGCCAGTGCTCAGCTCAAGAGGGCTTCAGACTCGGGTCCTCAAGAGGCCCAGCCCTGCAGGCGTCAACATCAAGGATGGAACGTTGGTTTAGGAGAGTGATGAAAAGTTGAAATGGTCTGAGGAATTAGCCAACAGCCTGGAAAGGCAGGCACGTTTCTCCATCCTCACCCCACTCCCCTCCCACTAACCCATCTGCCTGGCCTGTGATCCCCCTCGAGGGCAGTTCCCATGGATGGTGCCAAGTTGAGCATGCTCTGTAGGGTCTGGGGGAGAGGCAGGCAGGAATGATAAGAATAAAGCCGGCTGCAGATAGAGACATGCCCATTCTGCCTGGCAGTGAAGATGGCCATCATTCTTTCATTCACACATTTACAGGCGCACGTGGGTGCGCACACACACACACACTTGTATTGACACTGTTGTTTTATTATAGAATATAGCTTATGGACATGTTTAAACATACCAGCTAGAGTAAGTAGATAGGAAAGGAAAATACAAATGGCATTCCACAGATAATGTCAACATTATTTTTATTGGGGGCCATGAATGTGCATATGCAAAGTAGAAAAGTTACACTATTAAGGGAAAACGTTAGATGGAGTCTATATTTAACATAAAGGAAAAAAGTCAGTGATTTAAATGAGCTCATGGTTCTATATACAGTATACATATTTACATTAAAGCTTTCCTTCTCTGATAAGATACCAAAGTAATGATGGGTGATAACAGGGGCTTTGAGAGGCCCAAATAACCAAAGAATCATAACATCTGGCAATGAATGATCAATCAAAGACTGCCATAAAAATAAGACACAATCAAAATACTATGTACAAAAAAAATCTAATACAACTGCTGGTCTCTTTAGTTGGAGACACCTCTCCCATCACATCCATGAGGAAGGGAATAGAAGAGATCCCTGACTGTTTTCAATTCCAGGACAGTTCTGTACAATCCAGTCACAGCGTGACTCCCTCCTCTGGACAGTCGTTTCCTTCACGCTCTGTCAGTTTCAAGATTACAACCTTTCTCTGGAGACGCTTGGCCAACGAGCTTGGCTGACGATCCAGAAGCTTTGGGCAGTCCTCTGCTGCTGGCTGCAGTGTGTCATGGGGGATGGAGTCCTGTGGTACTTCCTGTGGTAGGGGTATGGAGTCCTGTGGTACTTCCTGTGATAGCTCCACCCCCTGGGCCAGCAGCATGCTGGTGATATCTGTGTAGCCTCCCATCACAGCCAGGTGCAGAGGGGTGAGGCCCTGCTCGTCTGACAGACTGGCACCCTCAGGGCAGTGGACCAGAAGCTCTTCGAAGACCTCACAGTGCCCCCCTTCTGCTGCCAGGTGGCAGGGGGTACGCAGGTTTTGGTTGGTGCAGTAGGGGTCTGCCCCTTCCTCGATCAGCATCTTCACTGTGGGCAGGTGGCCACGCTGAGCAGCGAGGTGGAGGGCGGTAAGACCCTGGGTGGTCTGGGCCTGGATGTCTGCATCATGCTTGACTAAGAGGCGGGAGGTGCTGGTGTGGCCTGTTTCAGCCGCCACATGCAGGGGGGTGTGGAGGTCCGTGGAGGTCACGTGGATGTCTGCCCCCAGCTCTATCAGGATCCTTGCCACCCTGTAATGCCCCCTATGGGAGGCCATGTGCAGCGGCGTGCGCCCATTAGTCGTCTGCCCGTCTACGTCCGCCCCAGCCTGCTTCACCAGCAATTTGACGATGCCCAGGTGGCCCTGCCAGGCAGCCAAGTGAAGCGCCGTCCAGTCATCTCTGCCCTTCACGTGGACGTCTGCCCCGCGGCTCAGAAGCACCCTGACCACGTTCTCCTGGCCATGCTGGCAGGCGATGTGTGCGGGTGTACGGCCCTGGGCATCCGTCTCATTGATGGAGGCACCGCGGTCCAGCAGTAGGCGGGTGATGGCCTCATCCCCGTTCTGAGCAGCACAGTGCAGGGCTGTGTATTGGTCCTCGTCCCGGGCGTTGGCGTTGGTGTTCCGGCGGCCCAGCAGCAGCTCGGCCAGGCCCTTCAGGTGCTTCTCGGTGGCCAGGTGGAGGGGGGTGGAGCCATGGGCGTTGGCCAGGTTGGTGTTGGCGTGGTTGAGGAGTAGGAACTTGACGGCCTCCTCGTTGGCCTGCGTGACGGCGTGGTGGAGCAGGCTGTAGCCGCCCTCCAATAGGAGGTCCACGTCCTGAGGCTGCAGGATCTTCATCAGCTTGGACATGTCCTTGGTACGGATGGCGTCGCACAGCTTCCTCCTCTGCACCTCCCCAGAGTCTAAACAACAAGGAGATAGAAGACACAGTATAGAGTCAGGGCCAAAACCACAAAGAAACTGTTCTAAAGTTAAAGAAACACTCTGCATGCTCCAGAAGTCATTCAGAACTGTACTACTTATACGTAGGATATAACACCGTGAGAAACGAGAATTCCTGTCATCTGTTAAAGGAAACCATAGACAATGCCATGACACAGCCATTCTTACCACATGTGTTCTCTTTCTCAAAGGAGAGGGTAATGGAGTCTTGAGAGGAGAAGGCAGAGTCTACAGAGGAGATTCCTGACAGTCTCTTGCTGGTGTTGTCTTTGCTGGGACAGCAGTCCTCCTTCACATGGTCAAAGCTCCGAGATATCCCAGAGTCTACCTGACTCAGCAGCTCTGATAGGCTGTAGTCTTTCTCTGGCAACATGGCAGACCTGGGCCTGACTGGCTTCTGCTCTTTATTCTGTTGGAGACACAGCTATGTTAGAAATACAATAACAAACCCATTGACTCCTTGGCTCTTTGACAACCTTTATGTTGTTAAAACATCTAGTTATGTAGCTATGTATCTTAAAATAGTTTTCCTCTCAAACCTAGTCCATTTATCATCTTCACTAATCATCACTGATCGTTTATTATCTTTACACATTGCACAATCGCACTAGTAATTTCTTCTAAACGGATGTCTAGTCAGTTCGTCACGTACACCCAGTACCCGGCATCCAGGATGTGAAACAGCAAAGAGTTAACCTAGTTAAACAATGCTTCTGGACGGCATTCTTATGTCATGATGAAACCATTTGTCAGGATCAAACATTGACTGTGTGTCTTATGGAAACAATAACAAGTCCAGTCCACAGGAAAACAATCACACAGATTTTAGACATACAGTACCAGAGGGTTTTCTAATTACATTATAGAAGAACACCAAAGCAGACTAGACTTGGACAGTTCAGTATATAGAATGGGGTGTCAGGGAAAAGAAGAGGATAGAAATCAATAGAAAAGGCAGAGGGAGAAGGCAGGGGAATATAAGTGAATGGTATGTGTGGAGGTTATACCTGGTCAGTGGTTAGTCCATTGCAGTGGTTATTCTCAGGCTCAGGGGTTTGTGTCTTGGACTCCTCTTGGGGTTTAGAACACAGCTCCTCGGCTTCTGATGTGATTTCTGCAGACAGAAGACAACAAAGGTCAGGTTTGATGTATAGAATAGCATCCCGTGGTTTAATTTTCACCTTTTCAGAAAACTATATGTACAGTACATCATGACTTTGTGTATGTACACTACCAGTCAAAACTTTGGACACACCTACTCATTCAAGGGTTATTCTTTATTTTTACATTGTAGAAAAAAAGTGAAGACATCAAAACTATGAAATAACACATATGGAATCATGTAGTAACCAAAAAGTGTTAAAGAAATCAAAATATATTTAATATTTGAGATTCTTCAAATAGCCACCCTTTGCCTTGATGACAGCTTTACACACTCTTGGCATTCTCTCAACCAGCTTCATGAGGTAGTCACCTGGAATGCATTTCAATTAACAGGTGTGCCTTCTTAAAAGTTAATTTGTGGAATTTCTTTCCTTCTTAATGCGTTTGAGCCAATCAGTTGTGTTGTGACAAGGTAGGGGGGTATACAGAAGATAGCCCTATTTGGTAATAGACCAAGTCCATATTATGGCAAGAACGGCTCAAATAAGCAAAGAGAAACAACAGTCCATCATTACTTTAAGACATGAAGGTGGGCGGTAAGAAAATAAAATAAAAAAATAATGTATGCACTCACTAACTGTAAGTCGCTCTGGATAAGAGCGTCTGCTAAATGACTAAAATGTAAAATGTAAATGTAAAAGGTCAGTCAATACGGAACATTTTAAGAACTTTTAAAGTTTCTTCAAGTGCAGTCTCAAAAACCATCAAGCGCTATGATGAAACTGGCTCTCATGAGGACCGCCACAGGAATGGAAGACCCAGAGTTACCTCTGCTGCAGAGGATAAGTTCATTAGAGTTACCAGCCTCAGAAATTGCAGCCCAAATAAATGCTTCACAGAGTTCAAGTCACAGACACATCTCAACATCAACTGTTCAGAGTGGACTGTGTGAATCAGGCCTTCATGGTCAAATTGCTGCAAAGAAACCACTACTAAAGGACACCAATAATAAGAAGAGACCTGCTTGGGCCAAGAAACACGAGCAATGGACATTAGACCGGTGGAAATGTGTCCTTTGGTCTGGAGTCCAAATTGGAGATTCTTGGTTCCAACCGCCGTCTTTGTGAGACGCGGTGTGGGTGAACGGATGATCTCTGCATGTGTATTTCCCACCGTAAAGCATGGAGGAGGTGTTATGGTGTGGGGGTGCTTTGTTGGTGACACTGTCTGTGATATATTTAGAATTCAAAGCACACTTAACCAGCATGGCTACCACAGCATTCTGCAGCAATACGCCATCCCATCTGGTTTGGGCTTAGTGGGACTATCATTTGTTTTTCAACAGGACAATGACCCAACACACCTCCAGGCCGTGTAAGGGCTATTTTACCAAGAAGGAGAGTGATGAAGTGCTGCATCAGATGACCAGGCCTCCACAATCCCCCGACCTCAACCCAATTGAGATGGTTTGGGATGAGTCGGACGGCAGAGTGAAGGAAACAAGTGCTCAGCATACGTGGGAACTCCTTCTAGACTGTTGGAAAAGCATTCCAGGTGAAGCTGGTTGAGAGAATGCCAAGAGTGTGCAAAGCTGTCATCCATATGTGTTATTTCATAGTTTTGATGTCTTCACTATTATTCTACAACGTAGAAAATAGTTAAAATAAAGAAACACCCATCCTTTACAGACATAGGCCCCATTGGGTCTCTACTCACCCTGGAAGCTGGGTCTGGCATCAGGTAAGGGGGCCCAGCAGCGCTGCATGAGGCTCAGAAACCCTGTGCAGGCCTGGGGTCGACTCCGGGGCACAACATTGAGATCAGGACGCACCCCTCTCACCACCTTCAACATGATCTGCAGGATGGTGTTCTCCCCTGGAGGAAATAGAGGACATAGAGATACAATCAACACAAAATATAAGACACATTGATACACTTACAAACAATGGCAGAAGACAAATGTCAGCTGGCGTCGGGTAAGTTTGGCTTTATACATAGCTTGGGCTTTGTCGAGTAAGGCTTAATTATGTATTTAGATTGTAGTTAGGTATTGTAGGTAGGCATTGCGGGCTGTTGTGGGTAGTTATTGTAGGTTAGCATTGTATTCGGCTGTGCCGGGTGTAGCACGAAGCTAGCTAGCTAGCTAGCCGTTTCTCAAACAAAGTCAACACAGTAGCCATTGCTAGCTAGCCAACACGACCAGCTAATTGTACTGTAGCAGCTAAATACAATATATTTGTGCTAGCTAGCCAACGTTTAATTATTGCTGCGTTATGATAGGAACTAGACACGGACACGAATTATCTGTTTAGTGTGTTAACACACTATTGGTAGTTTGTTGTAACCAAGTATTGGTGCTAAACTGTGTGTTATTGGATGCTAGCATGCTAGTTTGCTATGGCGTCATAGTTAGGCATCGTGGGCTGTTGTGGGTAGTTATTGTATGTTAGCATTGTATTCGGCGGTCCCGGGTGTAGCACGAAGCTAGCTAGCTAGCCGTTTTTCAAACAAAGTCAACACAGTAGCCATTGCTAGCTAGCCAACACGACCAGCTAACTGTACTGTAGCAGCTAAATACAATATACTTGTGCTAGCTAGCCAACGTTTAATTTTTGCTGCGTTATGAAAGGAACTAGACACGGACATGAATTATCTGTTTAGTGTGTTAACACACTATTGGTAGTTTGTTGTAACCAAGTATTGGTGCTAAACTGTGTGTTATTGGATGCTAGCATGCTAGTTAGCTATGGTGTCATATTTAGCTAGCTGAATAAAGTAAGTTGAGTCTATTCCTTGAAACATTGAACCGCTGTAGTTCACAACAATTCTAATTTCTAAAGTGGAAGTTGGGAGAGTTTTTATTCGGGTGGTTCAGTGAAACAATTATAGTTTCTGAGGTGGAAGTTTTGGTGAGGGAGGCCCTACTCTCTCCTTTCCCAGATGTTTAGTTCATTTCATTCCGATCTCCTCTGCATTATTGTAGCCATTTGCTACAGCCTGTCAACTATGCCTCTGCCTATCCCTGTTCTCTCCTCTCCGCACAGGCTACACAAACGCCTCACACCGCGTGGCTGCTGCCTCTCTAACCTGGTGGTCCCTGCACGCACCCCACACCTGGAGTTCCAGGTCTCAGGCAGCCTCTGGAACTGCCGTTCTGCTGCCAACAAAGCTGACTTCATCCCAGCCTATGCTAACCTCCAGTCCCTCGACTTCCTGGCGCTGACGGAAACATGGATTACCACTGAAAACACTGCTACTCCTACTGCTCTCTCCTCGTCTGACCATGTGTTCTCGCATACCCCGAGAGCATCTGGTCAGAGGGGTGGTGGCACAGGAATCCTCATCTCTCCCAAGTGGACATTCTCAATTTTTCCCCTAACCCATCTGTCTATCTCCTCATTTGAATTCCATGCTGTCACAGTCACTAGCCCATTTAAGCTTAATATCCTTGTCATCTATCGCCCTCCAGGTTCCCTTGGAGAGTTCATCAATGAGCTTGACGCCTTGATAAGTTCCTTTCCTGAGGATGGCTCACCCCTCACAGTTTTGGGGGATTTCAACCTCCCTACGTCTACATTTGACTCATTTCTCTCTGCCTCCTTCTTTCCACTCCTCTCCTCTTTTGACCTCACCCTCTCACCGTCCCCCCCTACTCACAAGGCAGGCAATACGCTTGACCTCATCTTTACTAGATGCTGCTCTTCTACTAATCTCACTGCAACTCCCCTCCATGTCTCCGACCACTACTTTGTTTCCTTTTCTCTCTCGCTCTCCTCCAACACTACTCACTCTGCCCCTACACAGATGGTAATGCGCCGCCGCAACCTTCGCTCTCTCTCTCCCACTACTCTCTCCTCTTCCATCCTATCATCTCTTCCCTCTGCTCAATCCTTCTCCCTCCAATCTCCTGATTCTGCCTCCTCAACCCTCCTCTCCTCCCTTTCTGCATCCTTTGACTCTCTGTGTCCCCTATCCTCCCGGCCGGCTCGGTCCTCCCCTCCAGCTCCGTGGCTTGATGACTCATTGCGAGCTCACAGAACAGAGCTCCGGGCAGCGGAGCGGAAATGGAAGAAAACTAAACTCCCTGCCGACTTGGCATCTTTTCACTCCCTCCTCTCTACATTTTCTTCATCTGTTTCTGCTGCTAAGGCCACTTTCTACCACTCTAAATTCCAAGCATCTGCCTCTAACCCTAGGAAGCTCTTTGCCACGTTCTCCTCCCTGCTCCTCCCTCTCCACCCTCTCCGAGCTGGGCATCTCCGGCGCGGCTCACTCCTGGATTGCGTCCTACCTGACCGGTCGCTCCTACCAAGTGGCGTGGCGAGAAGCTGTCTCCGCACCACGTGCTCTCACCACTGGTGTCCCCCAGGGCTCAGTTCTAGGCCCTCTCCTATTCTCCCTATACACCAAGTCACTTGGCTCTGTCATATCCTCACATGGCCTCTCCTATCATTGCTACGCTGACGATACACAACTAATCTTCTCCTTTCCCCCTTCTGATAACCAGGTGGCGAATCGCATCTCTGCATGTCTGGCAGACATATCAGTATGGATGACGGATCACCACCTCAAGCTGAACCCTGGCAAGACGGAGCTGCTCTTCCTCCCGGGGAAGGACTGCCCGTTCCATGATCTCGCCATCATGGTTGACAACTCCGTTGTGTCCTCCTCCCAGAGTGCGAAGAGCCTTGGCGTGACCCTGGACAACACCCTGTCGTTCTCCGCTAACATCAAGGCGGTGACCCGATCCTGCAGGTTCATGCTCTACAACATTCGGAGAGTACGACCCTGCCTTACACAGGAAGCGGCACAGGTCCTAATCCAGGCACTTGTCATCTCCCGTCTGGATTACTGCAACTCGCTGTTGGCTGGGCTCCCTGCCTGTGCCATTAAACCCCTACAACTCATCCAGAATGCCGCAGCCCGTCTGGTGTTCAACCTTCCCAAGTTCTCTCACGTCACCCCGCTCCTCCGCACACTCCACTGGCTTCCAGTTGAAGCTCGCATCTGTTACAAGACCATGGTGCTTGCCTATGGAGCTGTGAGGGGATCGGCACCTCTGTACCTTCAGGCTCTGATCAGTCCCTACACCCAAACGAGGGCATTGCGTTCATCCACCTCTGGCCTGCTGGCTCCCCTTCCTCTGCGGAAGCATAGTTCCCGCTCAGCCCAGTCTAAACTGTTCGCTGCTCTGGCACCCCAATGGTGGAACAAGCTCCCTCACGACGCCAGGACAGCGGAGTCACTCACCACCTTCCGGAGACATTTGAAACCCCACCTCTTTAAGGAATACCTGGGATAGGATAAAGTAATCCTTCTACCCCCCCCCCCCCCCCAAAAAAAAAAAAAAAAAACATATTGTAAAGTGGTTATCCCACTGGCTATAGGGTGAATGCACCTATTTGTAAGTCGCTCTGGATAAGAGCGTCTGCTAAATGACGTAAATGTAAATGTAAATGTTAATTAATTGATCTACTGTTCATATGATAACTCAGTCCATAAGGTGTACCAGGCCCCATTATTTAAAGCCTGGATCATATCAATGAATAATGCCTTGATCGCGTGCTGGTGAAAGTATGGAAAAGCAACATAAACGAATGTCTGGGTAGGACCGATTCTAGTATGTACACTTTATTATTATCATTTTTCTGTATGCTCAGATAAGGAAGGCGTTTAGATGTTTTGTTTCTCTCTCCCACCAGGCCTGGAAAAACCTCTCAGACTTTCTTGGTCATGGTCTCTTTGTTATCAAGCATTGGGACCAGCCAGACAGCCAGCCAGCCAGTCAGTGGAGTTAAGCTCAGATCACCTTGGCTTATTTTGTAGCTTTAATACCATTCAATAGAAGGAGGAGGAACATGGGAGGAGGAGATGGAAAAGTACTTTTCTAGGGCTTCATTAATGGCGGACACAGGTGCCAGTGCCAACGTTGTCACTGCCCTGATCAAGAGCTTTCAATTCAAAGGATATGCCTGGGGAAAACACCTGTCAGCCTGCCTGCCCTGGAATTCACCAGGTAAACACTCAACGGCACCGTCAATATGTGCACTGTGACTAAATGTCTGTTACCTTCACTTAGTGAGATGCCGGACAAACTAACATGGGTGGTCATGTCACAAGGAGTCTATGGGCTTAATCGCGGTCCAGGAACCTGGCCATTTGAGTTTAAGAAAGACTAGGAGTGAATCTTATAAGACAAACCCTAAAGGACTACAAGGTGTCTCACACCAATCCTCAATCTATCCATCAATTTCCTCAACATGTCTCACCTTGGTAAGGTTTCTTCTGTGTGAGAATTCCCCAGATGACGATCGAAAAGCTGTAACAGGAAGGGAACAACAGGTCAGTATCAAGGAATACTAATAAAAGTGATCAATTAATGAATGACCTACTCACTATGTGTTTTCCAAGCATAATTTATAACTGGTTAATATACATCCATTTCATATTCATAGTGATTAAAACAAATATTGTCAAAACAAACAATGGAGGGGAGAAGTGAAAAAAACTAACATCAAGACTAAGCATTAAACAGACAACGTTCCAATCCTCTGGCAGACAAGGACAGAGAGAAGTGAAGGTGAAGACTCTCACCTGTAGACGTCATGCTTGGTGTCTGACACCCTGTCCTTCTCGATGATGCTCTCCGGCGGCAGATAGGCGATGGTGCCACAGAAACCATCACGGCTGATTTCATCAACCCTGGATAGGCCGTTCCACCGGGCCAGACCAAAATCTGATATCTGAAGGGGGAGATACAGAATATATCTTGTTAAGACAAGAACCTACTTGATCTCTCCCTTTCCCATTTGTTGTCATGGCTATGGCTACCTATGACTAACTTTACCCTCAACCTGATGGCTGAGCCCTTATTGTATTCTATGCATCCAGAGCCATGATGAGGGCAGTGGCAGCCATGTCCTGTCCCAGCCTGAGGGTGCTTTCCTTACCTCTCGTGTCAGGAGTTGAGGCCCTGTTTGACTGTGAGTTACATGCGTGGGCGAGCAGCTGAACACACACTCAGTCAGTGTTGGCAGAGTACTGTACTCAGCCTGTTAAGACAGGCCCAGGCTACGTGTTTACATGAAGGTATTAAAACAGAAGAGGTTCCCACCCATTTCTCCTCCACCTCCAACCATTAGTCATCCAGTGTGAGGTAGGAGAGCAAGTGGGATGAAGGCTGGGAGGGAGACACCTTTCTGCCCGTAGCATGTGTGTGCAGCAGGGCGGCCGTTTAAAGCAAAATGAAAGTGTATAACAGATTTCCTCCCTTCATACCTCTCAGCTGAAATTAACGCCTGAACAAATCCTATTAAAGGACACACTGTACCACATGAAAGCTCTTGAGTTTGGGCTGTTGTTTTAAAGAGTCATTCTGTAGTAGAAATTACATAATTTGAGTGAAGGTTTGCTAAATGCTCACCATAAGGTAAAATCAGACTTTTCTATTGGACAGTGTATTGATTTTTACATATTTATGTTAATTAAATGGTCTAAAATATTTTGGCAGCTGAGACTCAGGCCTTTACTACATCAGCTCTGCTCAATATGACTCAACATAACACACTATGACATAATACTGTGGCTAGGTGTACCACCAATCTGCTGAACCAGTAGCAGTAGTAACAGTTACGGAAGCAGTAGCAATAGGAGTGTTTGGTTTAGTTCACCCGGCGCATCAGGCAGGCAGATTCAGCATTGAGAACCAATGCAATGTGTATTTTAGGACCAATGGTCTCAAATGTGCAAGCACTGCCCACACCGTGCCCTGTGCGAACTCCAACCAACACACCAAGTAACTGTTGTGTCTCACCTTGACGTGGTAGTGTGCGTCCAGTAGGATGTTGGCAGGTTTTAGGTCCAGGTGCAGGAGGGGTGGGCTCATGCAGTGCAGGAAGTTCATGCCCACTGCAGTCTCGTGGATGATCCTGAAGCGTAGCTCCCAGGGTAGAGGCTCAGCAGCCAGCAGGGTCTCTAGGGAACCTGTCTCCATGTACTCCATCACCAGGCCCTGGGAGTTCCCACAGATCCCATACACTGGCAGGATGTAGCGGAACTTAGCCGCCTCCATCTTCTTAGCCTCCTCCAGTAGCACCGCTCGCTCCCTACAGAGGACATGCTTGTCTGTTAACTTACTTAGACTTCATCACGCCAAGTGGGCATAAAGGCCTCGTATACCTGTCTGTTTAGACTGAACTACATAACTCATACAGATAACAGAGAATTTAAATGTAGCTGTCTTCCTAAATCTACCCATCCATCTACGTCCCTTGATCCACACAACAAATTCAGAAAATGCTGTTATTTTATTTTATCTTACTTACACAGGTATTCAAAGGCTTGTTAAAACAGCACCATTTGAAAAACCTTTTACCATCGACCCAAATTACACCAGGGAATACAAGGAGACAGCAAACTGAGATGCATGGGCTTTCCCATGCATTAACCTGTCTCTCTGACAGGTTAAATCAGTGAACCCCCTGCAGACATGAGGAATTTATGGGACAGAGATTCTCCAAGTATGTCAGCCAGGCAGATCTGTCCGAGCGACATTCCTCAGAGAGCCAAAGCATCCAGCTTGGTTTGGAGTTATGAACACAACAGACCTCTTGTTCCCTATGCCCTTGTTGCTCAACCTTTGAACAATTACCTATTATTACCTTTATCAGTGTTAGCTCGGCTAGGCTAGCAGACTCAAAAAGAGCCGTGTAGCCCATCACCATAGAGATCTAAAGGGAGGTGATAAACTGCTTAATCATCATGTATAATGTGTGTGTATACAGTAGTGTCTTCACTACAAAGGCAATGAGCAACAACTTGGGTTTTCAAAGGATTCATTGAATATTAAATCAGCATGCTGATAAGATCTTAAAAAGTAAAAAGTAAAATAAACGATGTAGTGTAGTCTCTCTGTCACTAAGGCAGCCATTTCTTTATGTTTCGAGGGGGGCAATTCCATGGTAACGGAATTACGAAGAGACTTAGACTTTTTACTTTAAGATGTATACCAAACAAAAACCATTGACTTCAAAGTTTAAAAAACCATACAACTCTATGCACAACCACTACTTTTAACAATTTCCACTGAAAATTTTACAAAAACACACTGGAAGAACTGTGCAGATACAAGTTGTGTAACAGAAAACTGAGGGAGATTTTACCGCAATTCTATTACCAAACTTTTGCGTCCGTACTGTTTTTCCAGTAAATGATTTTTTTATTAATTTACTGTGTAAATTGTTCAAAGTGTCATTGTGCATTGAGTTGTATGGAGTCTCAGCGTAATTCTGTTATCTTGGAATTGCCAAGGGGTAAATTATCAAATCATTCAAGTTCAATAAAAGTGTAAGCCATTTCATCAAATAAATCTGACAAGCATGAAAAATCTGTGTAAATGTGTGGAGTTAGGAGAGTGTTTTACCCAAGAGGCTCAGACTTTTCTGTTACCATCTACACGGCACTAGTGTCTCATTCGCACCACCTCCTCACCCCGACCCCACAAACAATAAAACAAGACTTTCGTGAACTAAACACTCGCACTTGACTTTTTTCCCCCCTTACTAGCTCTGACCTTGCTGATAGCTTTGAGGAAAAATGTACTTACTATGACTGTGATATGTGGTTGTCCCACCTATCTATTCTAAAATGAATGCACTAATTGTAAATTGCTCTGGATTAGAGCGTCAGCTAAATTACTAAAATCTAAAAATCTAAAATGTAAATTGCAGGCTGTCTTTTCAAACAGCTATTACACTAAAAGGGCATTATCATCATTTTCACATTATTATTCCAACATCATAGTGTGTAAATATATATAAAACAAGTTGAGACCGGTGGGTCCACCCCAAAGTGCCACGTGTCATGATGACGCTCACCTGTCTCGATCAATGTGAGAAGATTTGAAAGACAAGATGGCGGCATACACATTGTTGGATTACTTCATGGAGCAAAACATTTATTTTAATAACGGAGCATTTTCTAAATTCAAACGAACCACCTGCAACTGGACACTGACATTTTAGAAGGTACATGTTTGGCCGAATCGAGAACAAAGATAGTATTCCCAAGTTAAAAGTGTTTTACATATATTTCAATACTGAGGTTGGAATAATACAGTGAAATTGTGAAAATTATGATACTGCCCTTTTAGTGTAAGAGCTGTTTGAAAAGACTGCCTGAAATTTCAGCCTGTTTTAGTGGGATGGAGTTTTGGCCTGCCTTGTGACATCACCAGGCGGTAAATTAGTTAATAGACTAATAAGAAAGAGAGTTCCAAACCTCTCTGCCAATAACAGCTAGTTTTCAGTTTTCCCCTCCCCACAGTCCTAGCAAAATTATTGCTTGAGAAATTGTTCTTTGCTATGAAGCTATGTGTATTTTGGGTTCTTTTTGACCATTTTAATGGAAAACAATCACAGTACGTTACTTAATTGTAAACAACTGCATTGGACCTTTAAGGTTGGTTAAAAAGTATCTGTGCTATGCCAAACAGTACCTATCCTGTAATGGCTAATGGAGCATCACATTAGCCCGTTACAATTCGCTAGCTAGCTTTGAGTCAGAGGACTGTGTGGAAGCAGGGAGCAGGCAGGCAAATTACAGTTTATGTACTTTTCAGTTGTTGAGAGAAGATAGCATCTTTAGTTCAGGTTCAGTGGGTGCCATGAGTCTAGCTACTATGGATTGGAGGAGGATGTCAATGATTGTCATTGGCAAAGCTAAAGAACTTCCTCCTGGTGCTGTGTATGACATATTTTTCTCTGTGAATGTTTTGCAAAAGCAGTAGGGTAGAGAAGTGAGATAAATGGTCATAGGAAGTAACACAATCAAACACAAAAAAAGGAGGCAATAAACTCTGTCGTGTTTGTGAGTTTCTGCTAACGGACGATTCCCTGTAAAAAAGTCAACCTGAGCATGCACAAATAAAGTTAGTTATAGACCTTAAGGATAATTATGAATGTGGTTTCATTCGGAAATATGTTGGAGTTCAGGCTTTATTCGAAAATGTTGACCATTACAGAGTAGGTGGCCAAGTCTCAAAAAAGGCTTTTCAGTCAATCATATTGAACTACTTTTAGAAAGGGCTCACAGTCTTTGTTTCTCCACTCACAGCTCTCCCCCAGTATTAGTTAAGAAGATGAGATGTTAATTAAGCAATATATACTGAATTGAAGTGTCTTGAGTTTTGTTTGCGTGTTCTACAGTCTTGTAAAGATAGGTGACTGGGACTATGTAACATACATAACCTTTTTTAGGAAAAGTTTTTAAAAAACAAGAACTACATCGGATCATCTTGAAACTTTCTCTTTAAAGCCAACTTTCATCAAGGTTTTATATGGTGTGCAAAGCTATCATCAAGGCAAAGGGTGGATACTTTGAAGAATCTCAAATATAAAATATATTTTGATTTGTTTAACACTTTTTTGGTTACTACATGATTCCATGTGTGTTATTTCACAGTTTTGATGTCTTCACTATTATTCTACAATGTAGAACATAGTAAAAATAAAGAAAAACCCTGGAATGAGTAGGTGTGTCCAAACTTTTGACTGGTACTGTATAACGGTTGATTTTCCTCTCTGAAGTAATAATGTAAATGACAATCTTTTCAAAATTATAGTTTGTGTTCAGCCACGCCTTTCCTTCGAAAATGCAATCCATGTTTTGACCTAAGACTTACAAACTCACAGACTTCTGCTAATATGTTCAGTCTCCCCAAAAAGCTTGTCCATTTAATGTAACATCCAGAACGCTTCTTATTTGCTTTATTTCTCCAACATATCAATATTTACAAGTCCACTTTTTTGGGGTATACACTACCCCCAAGGGGTACTATAGACACACACATCAAACGTTTAATTTTTTTGTCCATTCTCTGAGACATTTAAGTTGTGATTTTGCGTGCAACTGTAATATCCATAATGCTGGAATTGCCCTGAATGACTCAAATGTAATATACACTGAGTGTACAAAACATTTAGAACACCTTCCTAATATTGAGTTGCACCCCCCCTTTTGCTCTCAGAACAGCCTCAATTTGTCAGGGCGTGGACTCTACATGGTGTCGAAAGCATTCCACAGGGATGCTGGCCCATGTTGACTCCAATGCCTCCCACAGTTGTGTCAAGTTGGCTGGACGTCCTTTGGGTGGTGGACCATTCTTGATACACACAGGAAACTGTTGAGCGTGAAAAATCCAGCAGCATTGCAGTTCTTGACACAAACTGGTGCGCCTGGCACCTACTACCATACCCAGTTCAAAGGCACTTAAATATTTTGTCTTGCCAATTCATCCTCTGAATGGCACACATACACAGTCCATGTCTCAATTGTCTCAATGCTTAAAAATCCTTCTTTAACCTGTCTTCTCCCCTTCATCTACACTGATAGAAGTGTATTTAACAAGTGACATCAATAAGGGATCATAGCTTACACCTGGGTTCACCTGGTCAGTATGTCAGAAAGAACAGGTGTTCTTAATGTTTTGTACACTCAGTATAAGTGTCTGTGACTAAATCTCTCAACAAGTCAACAGCAGAAAGTTCAGCCTTTGGTCTGTGGGTATATTGCCTCAAGTGAAATGAAGTTAAGGAGCAACCTGATCCAATCATTGTCTTCAAAGCTGTAAAAGCTCTCAAAATGACAGAGGGTCAGAATGGTTAAAGTGCTCTACATTGTAAGCCTCTTGAATACAATGTTCCCAACCTCATGCTCTGACACCTTTAGAAACATTAACTTGATATGCCACTGAAAAATGCCAAATGCACTAATATTTTCCACTGCTGGTGAATGTAAATAACACTTTTTGTGCCAAAGGAATTAAAGGATATTGTACAGATTCTTTAGATAATGTCATTTGCACATCCACTCTGCTACATTTTGAAATCAAGTTGAAAGTAGGAAAGGAATATTGAAAGTCAATTAAGACTTGGTAGTCCTCTTTGAGGTTTCTGGAGGGAGAGATTGTTTCCTCCTGCTGTTGAGGACATGAACCACGCAGGAGGGCAGAGAGGTGTTGTAAGAGAGGAAGGAACGTGCTAGCATAATGTTGAACTTTTCCCCCCAGCACACCATGACACATGCACGCACACACACTTGGTACTACACATGGCATAAAAGTCATACTACTTCTCATAATCATGAGTCAATACAAAAACATCATCACCAAACTGAAGAAGCGGTTACATTCCAGAGACATAGTGTAATGTCAAGTAGGGTCTCCTGGAGAAAGGGCCAGGCATTAGAGTAAAGAAGACTGATCTGTTTATTGGAGCCAGCCGCCTTTGTGACTGGGCTTGTTGTTGGGTCATTTTGATATGGACAGCATAATTCAGCCCCAGGGAATTGTGGTGGTGATGCCACCATTGGTGAAATGGTCCTCTTTCCCACAGTACAGCAGAGCATGAGGGGGCATCACGGTCCTCTGTAGCTCAATTGGTAGAGCATGGCACTTGTAACGCCAGGGTAGTGGGTTCGATCCCCGGGACCACCCATACGTATAAATGTATGCACACATGACTGTAAACCGCTTTGGATAAAAGCGTCTGCTAAATGGCATATTATTATTACATTTAAAAAAAAATCTATCCAAACATTCTTGAACTGTCAAACATTCACAGGTGTACTGCTCAAGGGCCCTCCATTGTAACCGCATGTGAATGACTGCTCAGTGCTCACCTCAAAAACATTTACATAATAGAAATGTACTCCCATACATATCCAGAATCCAGAAGATGATGAGTCTGTGACATAAGGCTGAATAAATTCCCAGCATACGTCAAACCCTCTGATAGATTAACAAACTCATAATCACAGAGAACTACAGCTTTTTACTCTGAAGCCCACGGAGGATATCAAACAGATAACATGTAGTCTAGGTTTAAATACTTGAAACAACATTCTTCACACTTTTAACACCATCAACCCCAGAATAAAAACAGCTGTCCAACTTACTTATCATCTACCTGAGGGCAGGGTGGGCACTTGATAGCCAGCCATGTTTTCCACTGTACATGTCGGACTTTGTATACTTGTCCAAAGCCGCCCGAGCCTATTTTCTCCCAGCTCCCAAACTCAGAGGAATCAAAGGTTCTCAGCAGCCCCATATTCCCATGGGAAGGGTCCGGAACATCCATATCCGTCTTTAGAAAGGCTTGCGTGGTTTTAAAATCTCCAAATCCTTATTTTTTCCCTCTTCAACACACATTCAGAAGACGTAAACATACACACCTGCCTAACTACTAAGCGCTCCCTTCCTTGTTTTTCCCCGCTTGCCTAACTCAATCTTGCCCCTCCTTCTCTTCAGGTGAAAGGAGGGGAAGAGCCTATAGTTGTGACATCATTTCCTGGGTCTGGCCAGACAGACAGATAACAGTCTTTCCAGGTAGCACGCCACTGACCAGGTTTATCATTAATCCAAGCCCCTGAGCCCCAACTCGCTCATATTTCTGGCAATATGTATTTATTTATTTGTAAATAAGATGGAATTCAAGAACAGTGAAATGTTGGGAAATCACCCAATAACTTTGTCCCTCTTGAGAACCCTAACACTACCAAAGACCCTGTAAATACCCTGAGGAGTCGTTGGGAATATCCTTCAACAATGGTTTGTTGCGTGATATTGCCCAGGAGGCTCTGGTTTGGAATGTGTTCATCTGGGAAGTATACTAGCCTATTCATTTGAGGTATACTACTGGTATAAATTTATCCAAAACCACCTGCCTGATTCCTTTCCTGTTCACACTGAATGAGACATGCCAGTGACTCAGCAGGTGTCATATATATCAGCAAACATGAACAATGACTGTAAGTAGAGAAGACCTGTTCCTCAGAAGTATCAGTGGTGGAAAAACTACCCAATTGCCATACTTTTTAATAAAAGTTAACTTAATAGAAAATGACAAGTAAAAGTCACCTAATAAAATGCTAGTTGAGTAAGTCTAAAAGTACTTGGTTTTAAATATACTTAAGTATCAAAAGTAAATGTAATTGCTAAAATGTAATTAGGTATAAAAAATAAAAGTACAAATAATTTCAAATTCCTTATATTAAGCAAACCAGAAGGCACCCTTTAATCTATTTATTTACTGATAGCCAGGGGCACACTCCAACATAATTTACAAACGAAGCATGTGTGTTTAGTGAGTCCGCCAGATCAGAGGCAGTAAGGATGACCAGGGATGTTCTCTTGAGAAGTGCGTGAATTGGACCGTTTTCCTGTCCTGCGAAGCATTCAAAATGTAACAAATACTTTTTGGTGTCAGGGTAAATGTATGGACTAAAAAGTACATTATTTTCTTTAGGAATGTAGTGAAGTAAAAGTTGCCAAAAATATAAATAGTAAAGTACAGATACCCCAAAAAACTAATTAAGTAGTACTTTAAAGTATTTTAACGTAATACTTTACACCATTGAAAAGTATTACGTTTATAGAAGCTCCTCCATGAATTAAGAAGTACGATTTATAATGAGAGCGGTTCGAAAATGTGATTGTCTTGGTTTATGGTTTACATATTCAGAGGGAAATCCCCCCCAAAATCAGATTTTTCTTACAACACATTTACATTTTAGTCATTTAGCAGACGCTCTTACCCAGAGCGACTTGCAGTTAGTGCATTCATTTTAAAATAGCTAGGTGAGGCAACCACATCACAATCGCAGTAAGTACATTTTTCCTCAATAAAGAAGTTATCAGCAACGTTAGTGCTAGTAGTGAAATACAATATAATCCCTCAACCTGCGCTTCCACAGACCCCCTCGAACTACAGAACACTTCTTATCCTGATTTCTATTAACATACAGGGGTGTAAATGGGCCATGTGGGAAACAATAATGAAATCTTAGCAGTTTATGAGGCAGCCTACTTCACACCATAGTGACGCACATCACCACAGAGACAGTGTTTAATACTTGGGGCTAATAGACAACACAGACACATCACATAGGAACATTAACAACAGTTGAAGGTGTCAACCCTGAAAATGAGGGTCTTTTGAGGTGATGGTCCATCTAGTCCACACCTCAATTTAATGTGGATGTTTATCCTTCTTGTGGGTGTTGACACACACCTTGGCCCCTGACTGTGGAAGGAGACAATAGCAAGAACCATACATACAAAAGACTGCTCTATTTCTCAGTCCTTCAAACACCTTTCTTAGACAATGTATTTGCATAAACTAATGCATATATCCCTTTATTTTATTCACTACAGAGTGGATGATGCAGAACTACACGGCCCTGTGTAGCTCAGTTGGTAGAGCATGGCGTTTGCAACGCCAGGGTTGTGGGTTCGATTCCCACGGGGGACCAGTATGAAAAATAAATAACAAATGTATGCACTCACTAACTGTGAGTCGCTCTGGATAAGAGCGTCTGCTAAATGACTAAAATGTAAATATGTAACCCATGTTCTGTAGGGGTCTCTCAGATAAATCATATTTGTGAAGATAGCGCCCCCTTCTGGTTGATCTAGGTTCTGACTCCTGGTGGGAAGCTACAAGTGGGCTGTTCGTAGCCTAGTGGTTAAGAGCGTTGGGCCAATAACCGAATGGTCGCTGGTTCGAAACAGCTGGTTTGCGCTGACTAGGTGAAACATCTGTCTGTGCCCTTGAGCAAGGCACTTAACCCCAATTGCTCCTGTAAATCTCTCTAGATAAGAGCATCTGCTAAATGTAAAAAGACTGACTGGTGCTTTTGATACATACATACATAAACAGACATCTGAGATGAAGGTAGCTATTGGAGCCTTGGGCAGTGCTGTGGGAAGATGACCCCCATTCTGTAAGCAGACAAACAACACTGATTACAATGATGCCAGCAGTGGCGGCTCCTGAAAAAATTCTCAGGGGGGGCAATTTTTCTGATGATTTAGGTGACCTACACACATTTTAAAAAAGATATGTCCAGCAACAACATGAAGACAGGGGCAGCATATAAGTCAATACCAGAAGCATTTATTGACTGATCTCAAAAGTGTTGGCTTACCAGGGTTGGTGGAGCCCTCAGTTTCATCTTTGCCTCGCAAAGCTAACTCAAACACGCCGCAAAACTTCACACACTGGATTAGCCGGCTGAGGATGTGGCGGTTCTTGCTAATGTCGTAGTAAATATATTTGTTATAGTGAATATGGAATATGATATGTTGAGTAAAATGTTGTGCTAAGATCTATTTAGGTCAGGAGCTGGTTATAAGTTCTGTTCCTATCCAATAACAATGGACAAAAGGGTCCTATCTTGTCAGCCTTGTCAGCAGGTGGCCAAGGACAACACCCACGCCATAGGCCTCTCAGTTCTTCCAACTCACGAGTTCTTGCTCTGAGGACACACACACACACACACACAAACACACACACACACACATCATCACTGTTAAACACACACACACACACACACACACACATCATCACTGTTAAACACACACACACATACACACACACAAAAATCCCCTCTCTTAGGCTGAACATTTGAAGACAGAGAACCCGACTCAGAGCCAATGCAACAGTGACAGTAGCCTGGAGGGGACCTCGCCCAACTCATCAGGACCAATCAGAAGATCAGAACTACTAGATTCAACCTACTTCATTTATTGCATAAAATGTCAGCACACAATGTTTCGGGGCTCTCTTCAGATAATAATAATAATAATAATAATAATATGCCATTTAGCAGACGCTTTTATCCAAAGCGACTTACAGTCATGCGTGCATACATTTTTGTGTATGGGTGGTCCCGGGGATCGAACCCACTACCTTGGCGTTACAAGCGCCGTGCTCTACCAGCTGAGCTACAGAAAGTGGATACTCATGGATGCGCATCGCAATTGTAAAATGTCAACACAATTGGAGACACCACGTCATTTTTGGAGACATGTTATTGACAGTAAACTATTGTAGATGCGACTGCTAACTAAATAAAACATTTTAGCTGGCTAGCTAATCATCTTAGCTAAATGTGGGGCAAACAATTCAGTTATTTACCGTTAATTTGAGGGATTGGGGTGAAAGAAATCGAGTTACATAGTGATACTTTACGATATACTGTATTGACAATATCGCAATATTTTAGCGCTAGTTGGCTGTACCTGCACCAAAACACCATTATTGTTCCTTCATAGCTTGTTCTCAATCTTTTCACATTGGGAGCCAATTTGTTTTCAGCACTTTTATTTCCATGACTGATCAAAACTCGTTCTCATGGCTTTCTGATCCCTCTGCAACAGACATATGGTGCGCAATAAAATCACAGTATCGAATTGCAATACGTATAGAATCATGAGACTCGCAATGCTGATGCATATATCTTATCGTGAGGTTCCTGGCAATTCCCAGCCCAAGTTCATTTGCCACAACAAATCTCTTCGCTAGCAAACGCGATGTCTTCTCCAAAACAGCAATGTGTCTCCAGCAATGTTTACTTTTTTGACGTTCTATGGCATCTCCACTTTCCAAGCATATATGACCACATGTAATATTTTGGTAAGTGATGCAAATAGTGAACTATGTAGGGCCAGGATGTAAAATATATGTAGCTGCAGCAATTTCTCTTATCTGATATGGTAAGTAATGGGGCTTAATTTATAGCTCCCTAAGAGTTTGACGAACGGGTCCGTGCACGCGATTCCAGATATCTTTACCTCTGAATAAACTGCCTTTATTATACCATATCCACCCTGTCCAAAGTCTCTACTTGGTCTCAGTTCTCCAGTAAACTTGTGATTATCAACACTAACCTCATCGTTGTGGCGGCGGACAGCTAGCCTGTATCCCTCATCAAGTTGAGTGGCAATGTTATTTTTCCGTTCGTACCAATTTTTGGAAAATCCTCGGGTGTAGGACTTTCCGCCTTTAGTAGAAACCTGTTGAATTATTAAATTTGGTCTGGGAGGTCCTAATTGTTTCGTTGCCAATTTATCTTCATTTGTTCGCCGACAAAAAGGAACTTCTTTCAAAGACACAATCCGCTCTTTTCTCAGTTACGTTCATGGTTACGTTACGTTACGTATGACGAAAGCGCGTAAGTGCAAGCCCTCAGACACCCATAGAGATTGTATTGAAGGCTCTGAAATTTGAAAAAAATCGATTTTACATTAGAGGCTATGAGAGACTTCTGGGCGATTTTCAACCTGACTGAAATCGCCCCAAAAGGGGGGGGGAGCCATTTGAAGCACGACTTTAGCCTGATTCGACATTTAGTGGCAGTGTGGCAGATCAGACGTATAGATTACAACACTGATAACTACTGTTGCCGTGATATAATTGATTAGAAAAAAAATCCCTTCCTTTTCCCGTTTGGCAGTGCGTCGCCCATATCGCCCTATTGAACAGGCCGCCCCTGGATGCCAGTCGAGTTTCCCAGTTGGATAAATCATAACTAACACTAGAAATAGTCTAGAAAACAAGTATGCATCATATTTTCTAATGTATTACTCAATTTAAACATTGATATTTAGACAGAAACGGGGTAAAACATTTCATTTTTGTGAAATTTAATTGAAAAAAACAGCAATAAAAAAGGCTTCCAGTATTTTTGACAATTGCTCAACAATGCTCTTAAGTTTCAATGCTTTCAGACATTCAAAAATAAAATATGATTTTCTCTACTGGATAAATGCTGTGTCTTGGCTGCTTTACACTCATGATCTACTCATAAAAAACGCTCAGACTCATCTAATTGGCTTCTATTAACCTCTTGTGCAAGGCATTCAAAGTTGTGTGCCAAAATCATTTAATATTTTTATTTTAACCACCAATGACAGAATTTCAAAAAATCATTACACTTTTTTGCATCTCAATAACCTAAATAATTCTGTAGTGAAAATATGTAAATATTGCGAGACGTGCATGTTAAATTCACAAATTGGAATATTCAATATCTTGCTTAGGTTTATTTTATAACTATTACATTGATCTGTTGATCAGTCAAACTGTGTAGTTTTGACCAAAGAAACAATGCACCCAAATAATTTCATTATTTTTAACTGTACATGCATCTCAGTAAACTATACAGTTCAAAACAACTTCCTCTGCAGGGTTTTTGACAAACAACAACTCAAGAGAAAGTGTCTCTTGGTTCATGTAAATGCTATCATCCTCCATTAATGTTCTCTTATTCAAGGAGTGTATTTTGGGGAATGTAACATAGGCATTAGGGTGAGAGCATTCAAGGCCTCTAGTCCACACAGTCCTTCCATGTGTCTGGAGTCTACCCACTGTCCTTCACCAGGACTGAGGTGACCAGCACCTCCCCTCTCCAGTCTAGTAGCTGAACATCTGCTGTGTTGTGTTGGCCTGCTGTTGCTGTGCTGCCTGGGCTTGTCTAGCCTGCTCTGGGGTCTGGGTCTCAGAGTCCTGGGCGTCACCTGGAGCCCCCTCAGCCACAGGGGTGACCTGGACCCCGTCAGCCTGCGTGACAGGCCTCCAGGCCAGGGTGGGGGTCTCCAGGGGGTGGCCCATTGGGTTGACAAAGGTGGTAAGGTTGATAAAGTGGGCGACCGACTGTTGCCCAGTACTGGCACCGCCCGGCCCCACCGTCTCGGTCGTGAGCTCGGCGGGCCGGTTGTGGAGCATGGCGGAGCCGCTGACCGTGTCGAAGGTGACAGTGAGGATGGAGCTGTCCAGGGTGAGGGGCCGGTGGTCGCTGGCTGACAGGTGGCCTACGGCTACGGGCTGCAGGCTGGTGAACTGGGCAGGGGCATGGGAGGTGATGGGGGTCACTGTGATGTTGGTCAGCCCCACTGAGCTGTTGGGGGAGGAGGCTGAGGACACGTTGGGGTCGGCCAGCACCACCACCTACAACAACAGCACCATTAAAACTGGGTCAGATCATTCACTACTAACAGTATGATACTCACACAATCTACAAATGATGTTGTGGACAATATGGAAAACTTTAAGGCCAAGTGCAGTCCAAAACATGATTTTCCAGTTTTTTTATATACACCGAGAATACAAAACATTAGGAACACCTGCTCTTTCCATGACTGACCAGGTGAAAGCTATGATCCCTTATTGATGTCACCTGTTAAATCCACTTCAAATCAGTGTAGATGAAGGGGAGGAGACAGGTTAAAGAAGGATTTTTAAGCCTTGAGACATGGAATGTGTATGTGTACCATTCAGAGGGTGAACGGGCAAGACAGAATATTTAAGTGCCTTTGAACCGGATATGGTAGTAGGTGCCAGGCGCACTGTTTTGAGTGTGAAAATAACTGCAATGCTGCTGGGTTCCTCACGCTCAACAGTTTCCCGTGTGTATCAAGAATGGTCTACCACCCAAAATACATCCAGTCAACTTGACAACTGTGGGAAGCATCCCTGTGGAACACTTTCAACACCTTTTAGTCCATGCCCGACAAATTGAGGCTGTTCTAAGGGCAAAAGGGGGTGCAACTCAATATTAGGAAGGTGTTCCTAATGTTTTGTACACTCAGTGTATTACAGTGAGCTATGTAAAGAATCCAGTATATAAATAAGCGGTATAAACAGTAACAAAAATGCAATGTACAGTAGTAGATATATTAGAATGAGCAATTTGAAGAATACAGTATATAAATACACAAAGTGAAAAACAGTATAAAAGAAACAGGAATTGTCCAGTGTTTAATGTCTCTATATACATGGGACAGCAGCGTTGGCTATGTGTGTGTATGCGCGTGTGTTTGTGAGTATAGGCGTATGCATGTGTGTGAGTGTATATGTGAGTATAGGAGTCTGCTTTTGTATGAGGTGTGTGTGTGTTGTTAAGAATGCTATTTTCTGATGATTATTCCCTATTGGAATTTGGCCATTAGGTACCCTCTCTAATGCCAGAGGTCACCATAAAGTAGGTCTTACTAACTGGTATCTATGTATGCCCTTGAGCCATAAAAATCAGCCAATGGTGTCCTTAAGCGATAAAGATGTTTCAAATGTATAGTCTATTCAACCCCAAGGTCTCAGCCTTGATTTAATGCTTTGGCACCAGGCACAGAAGGATGAAACAGCGAACAGATAAGGCAAGAGTATTTAGGTCTGCCCTCCCCTCTGTAGGGGGAGAGATTTGCTGCGAACCGGTTTGAGTTTGTCAAGAACTGCAACGCTGTTTTGTTTTTCACGCTAAACAGTTTCCCGTGTGTAACAAGAATGGTCCACCACCCAAAGGACATCCAGCTAACTTGACAACTGTGGGAAGCATTAGAATCAACATGGGCCAGCATCCCTGTAGAACGCTTTAGACACCTTGTAGTCCATGCCCAGACGAATTGAGGCTGTTCTGAGGGCAAAAGGGGGTGCGCAACTCAATATTAGGAAGGTGACCCTAATGTTTTGTACACTCAGTGTATATTTCCACACGAGGTTAGAATAATACTGTGAAATGGTGAAAATGATGATAAGTCCCTTTTAGTGTACGAGCTACTTGAAAAGACCGCCTGAAATTTCAGCCTGTTTTGGTGGGAGGGAGTTTTGGCCTTCCATGGTGACATCACCATGCTGTAAATTAGTTAATAGACCAATAAGAAAGTGAGTTCCAAACCTCTCTGCCAATAACAGCTAATTTTCAGTTTTCCCCCTCCCCAGTCAAACCACTCCCAGACAGTCCTAGCAAAAATCTTGCTTGAGAAATTGCTATTTGCTAAGAAGCCATTTTATTTTTTAACATTTTAATTTAAAACAATCACAGTAATGTACTTAATTGTTACCCAGAGATGATTTGATATTGAGATAAAAACTGCTGCATTGGACCTTTAAAAACACCACTTATCCACAACACTATTTAAAGACATTTATCATGGACAGATGGACCCAATTGTAATAAATATAATCTCTAACCTAATATAATTGCTAACATAGATGATCAGACAAACACATGACCCACCCACCTGCTGTATACTCTGCACAGCAGAGCTGGTCTCATCTCCCACTACAGTGGTGGTGTACTGTACTCCTTTGCCTGTGAAGTCAGCATACTCATCAGAGTCCGACAGCGCCGGCTCCTCCAGCTGTTTCTGCTTCTTCCTGGGCGGCCGGGGGGTCCGCTGAGGCCTCTCCCCAGAAAGAGCCTCCTTCTCCAGGGTTAGAGTGGGCTATGAGGGGGGTATGAGAACCAAGAGTATTAAAATAGTTCCATCTCTGCATATACTGTACTTAGCTCACCACCATATGCGTTGTATGGCACTTCGTACCTGCACTATGCTGATGCTTGACTCATCGATTGTTGAGTCTTCTTGGAGCTCGTCAAACTCATCTATTCTCACAGTGACCACCTGGGGTAGGAGGAGAGAGCAGAAGTTTAAAGAAAGCTGAGGCTTCACTATCAATAACAGGTGGGATAGGAAATTATGTTTCAAAGAGAGATGGGCCTGGTCTGGAGAACATGACAGAGAATGGCAGTTTCAGCTGATACTAATCAAATCAAAATCAAATTTTATTTGTCACATACATGTGTTTAGCAGATGTTATTGCGGGTGTAGCGAAATGCTTGTGCTTCTAGCTCTGACAGTGCAGTAATATCTAACAAGTAATATCTACCAATTTCACAACATATACCCAATACACACAAATCTAGTAAGGAATGGAATTTAAGAATATATACATATATGGACAAGAATTACATTCAAGTTGTGGTAGATCTCATGCATATAATGTCTCTATGGTTTAACCCCTACTGTCCCAGCTCACCTCAGGGTGTCTATTTGGTTTAACCCCTACTGTCCCAGCTCACCTCAGGGTGTCTATTTGGTTTAACCCCTACTGTCCCAGCTCACCTCAGGGTGTTTGCGCCTCATGTGGCGGTTCATGGAGGCTCGGGTGGACACCTTGGTGCCACACATGTGACAGCTCTGGGCCTCCACCTTCTCATGAGTCAGCTGCACATGCTTCTGGAGCATGTATTCTGTAACATACTTCTTATCACACACTGCACACGACCACGTCTTCCCCACTGGGGAGAGAGAGAGAGAGATCTAATAACGGTTCTCAAACAGAAGGTATTCATGGAGTTGTCCAAAACAAAAACACACAATATGAAACGGTGAGTATTCATCCAGGAACTTGCCTGTGTGAATGAGCTTGTGCGTCTCCATGGTGTTCCTCTCACTGAACGTCTTCCCACACAACTCACACATGAAGTCCTTTATTCCTGCAAGAGTAGAAACGGTACATCTGTCAGTGCAAACCATAACCCAATAAGCCCTTTGTACAGACTCTCATTAGCTTTGTTGTATCTGTAAAATATGACCAATGTTTGGCAATGCATGTCAGCTTACAGTGCCAAACCCATGTTTATAAATTAAAGTGGCATTTTTTCCCCCCTGCCACTGGGTTGTTTTGTATAGTTGTTGCTGGGCCCGTCTCACCTGTGTGTCTCTTGTAGTGTTTCAGCATGTTGACTTTTTGGGCAAACTTGCGGTTGCACTCCTTACACTCGTACTCTTTGATGCCCTTATGCAGTTTCATATGGTGCCTCAGCGCATGCTTGGTCTTCATCCCTGCAGAGAACACATTGGCTGAAGTTCTTAGCTTACCCCTTGTGGATGCGTTTACCAAAAAAAGTACATGCATGCTTTGATCAGAATATTTTTCCAATTCTTACAGCCACATATTTCAAGTAATATCTAACAATTTCACAACATATACCCAATACACACACATCTAGTAAGGAATGGAATTTAAGAATATATACATATATGGACAAGAATTACATTCAAGTTGTGGTAGATCTCATGCATATACTGTCTCTATGGTTTAACCCCTACTGTCCCAGCTCACCTCAAGGTAAGTGCTTGGTAAAGGCAAAAACAGCAGTTGGAAATGCCACCACCAATGTAGGTCAATTTGGTCTCCATTTCTAGTCTATTATGCAAATGCCTGTACCACTAATTATTTGACAAGGATAGTTGTCATGGTGATGGCCTCACCTTTGCCACACTCAGCACATAGGAAGTCTCTGACGTTGTCATGGACCCTCAGGTGTTCCTTTAGCATGTCCTTCCTGGCAAACGACTTCCCACACTGGTCACAACCATGGCTCTTCACCCCTGGGTGAAAAACATTACAGAGGAGACAGCAAACAAATAAAAATAATAAGCCCATAAAAATCTGATATTCTTTATTATGCATATCATGCCTTCAAGACAAATATTGGGTGGATATCATAGTGCCAAAATATGTGACTCGTGTGTTAAAGTACAACATTGAATGTGGTCCAGTATCAAGAAAGTATCTTGGTAGAGATGAAGGGTTCGGTTCCTACCTGTGTGAATGACCTTGTGTCTCTCCAGGTTGCCGATGCTGTTGAAGATTCGGCCACACATTTCGCAGGGGTGGATGTACCTTTAGAGCAAAATGAAAAGTGTAACAGACAGGGTTATGGTCAGAGTGCTAGTAACTAACCAAGAAGTAGAGTGTACAACAGTGCCCCTGTTCTAGATCTCTGTGTCCTGGTCCTCTCATCTCTCCACCCCTGTCCCATGTCACGGTCTCTCATCGCTCCACCACTGTCCCATGTCCCTGATTTATCTCTGCACCCCTTCTCACCTCTGCACTGCAGGGTCTGGGAGCTGTTCTCTGTGGATGACCAGGTGGGCATTGTAGGTGGCTTTCAGAGCGAAGCGCCGGTTACAGATGATGCAGCCATAACCCCTCTCTTTGTGCAGGTCCATGATGTGCTTCAGGTAGTCTCTGCCCTTGAAGAACGTCACCTAGACAAACACAAAGACAGTAGATTCGAACAGTGGCCATGGAGAGTGTGAGAATGTTTGTTTAACCCCCACAGTGGTGTGAGTATGTTTGTTTAACCCCCACAGTGGTGTGAGTATGTTTGTTTAACCCCCACAGTGGTGTGAGTATGTTTGTTTAACCCCCACAGTGGTGTGAGTATGTTTGTTTAACCCCCACAGTGGTGTGAGTATGTTTGTTTAACCACCACAGTGGTGTGAGTTTGTTTGTTTAACCACCACAGTGGTGTGAGTATGTTTGTTTAACCCCCACAGTGGTGTGAGTATGTTTGTTTAACCACCACAGTGGTGTGAGTTTGTTTGTTTAACCACCACAGTGGTGTGAGTATGTTTGTTTAACCACCACAGTGGTGTGAGTTTGTTTGTTTAACCACCACAGTGGTGTGAGTTTGTTTGTTTAACCACCACAGTGGTGTGAGTTTGTTTGCGTGACAGAATGTGTGTTGGGATGTGGCATTTGTGCGAGTGCGTGGTCTGTGACTGACCTGACACTTCTTGCAGTTGTACTTGTGGGTCTCTTGTCCGTAGTCTTCATCCTCCTCATCAGTGTCGTCGCTGCTGTCCACTGAGATGCCAATCTTCCTGATGAACTCCTCCCTCTCCTGCTCGTCCATCAGGGCTATGTCCTGGAGAACACACACACAGGAAGTTGAGCAACGACACCACTATGGACCTAGTGTCAATCTCTTTCTCTCTCTGTCATTTTTGAGTGTGAGTCAAATGTGTGGTTATGTAAGAGTTCAAAAGAACCATGAACTAATCTCTCTCACTTTAAAGTGCACATGAATATGGTCCCTCAGGACGTCCACTCTGAAGAACTTGCGTCCGCAGATCTCACAGGTGTACTTCTTATCCCCGTGAGTAAGCAGATGCTTGTTCATGTTGCTCCTGCAGGAAAACACCTGGACACACACAGTCAGGGTAAATATCTTCTTTCAAGTCTTTATTTTGACTCATTTGATCCAATGCCAAAATAGTTATATTTTCTGGTATCCGCGTCACCTCACCTTGCCACAGATAGGACATGCTGAAGGCTCCTTCCTGTATTTGGTCCCTTCCTCCCCATTGGCCTCCAGCTCTTCTCTCTTCAGGTGCTTTGGGTTTGCTGAGACATACAATAACAGTACAGCTGAGCTCTGAGAGAAGGTTGATTAACGCGTTGGGATAGAACACATTATTTCAGGATTCTGAGCCATGCACTTGTAAAAGTTGCAAGCTCTGCTCTGTTGATATAAACTAATCAAGAACATCATATACTATAATATACTTCAAACTTATAATAAACTCCAGACACACTGGGCAAAAGATTGTATCAACGTTATTTCCACGTCATTTCAACAACAAAAATTAAATGTGATGACATTGAATCAATGTGGAAAACTGATTGGATTTGCAAAAAGTCATCAACGTAAGGGAATTTAATATTTTTTTCACCCAACTTTTAACCTAAATCCAATGACATGGTGAAATGTGTTTATTTCACGTTGAATTCACGTTAGTTGACAACTCAACCATATTTTAATCAAAACTAGACTTTGAACTGACGTCTGTGCCCTGTGGGGAGTATCAACAAAATAGTCATCAATAAAGATGGCTCATGCCCCCCTGGTCCCTCTGCCAGTACTGACCCACAGTATGTCTCTTCTGGTGGTCCTGCATGACGTCCTTGCGGTAGAACATCTTGCTGCAGATCTCACAGGCGTACAGCTTCTCTCCGTGCTTCTTCTTGTGCTTAGACAGGTTACTGTTGGTGGAGAAGAACCTCGAGCAGATCTCACACTGGAATGTCTTGTCATCTGCCACCACAGGAACAAGAACAAACAATCTGACTAGTCATTCAATGAAACAAATAATGAACGGATAGGATATTGTTTCAACAAAGTCACAGACAGGACAATGCAGATGCTGTACGGTTTGTACAGTACAACAAGTGACAACAGTAAAGTAACATCAGAAGTATTTCAAAGATGGATAAAGATAGCGGACACCCAAACAAATGGTGTTTTCTAATTCATACTGCACTTACCTGTCCGACAGTTGTGGAACTTTAATGCATTCTCCACACGGAAGGCTTTGTCGCATGTGTTACATTTGTACCTATACTCCACGTCGGGCTGAGGGAGAGACGGACACACACACAATGTACAGTGAATCAAGGAGCTAGCCACTGCAACACAAACAGTGACTATCCTGGTCAAAAAAATTAAAGGCCAAAATGTTGAGCATTGATCTAGGTGCGCCTACCTCGTTTTTGCTGTGCTTGTATGAGATGTGCTGCTTCAAGCTCTCCTTGCGGCTGAACATCTTGTCACATTCATCACATTTAAAGAGCTTATCACCTAAGAGAGCACAGACAAAGAAATCAAAACATATGCACTTTTGTGTTTATGTGTATATGACATGATTAGTAAACACAGTGATCTCCATATATACACCGCTCTTCAGAGAAAAGAGATGGAATTAGTCTTACATAATTGTTCCTGCCACAAAAAAAAGACCAGGACAAAAAAAAACGATGGAGGGAGGAGTGGAGAGAGCATTACCGTGGGAGCGGATGTGTCTGTTGAGGTTGCTGCTGTTCTGAAAGACCTTGTTGCAGAGGTTGCACTTGTACAGCCTCTTATGGTCTCCTCCCTGCCTCAGAAACCTCTTCCTCGACCCAGGCCTGAGGAAGAGGGAACAAGGACAAGAGCGAGTGAGAGGAAAGGGGGATAATGCAGAGTGGAGGGAGTGAGAGGAAAGGGGGATAATGCAGAGTGGAGTGAGTGAGAGGAAAGGGGGATAATGCAGAGTGGAGGGAGTGAGAGGAAAGGGGGATAATGCAGAGTGGAGGGAGTGAGAGGAAAGGGGGATAATGCAGAGTGGAGGGAGTGAGAGGAAAGGGGGATAATGCAGAGTGGAGTGAGTGAGAGGAAAGGGGGATAATGCAGAGTGGAGGGAGTGAGAGGAAAGGGGGATAATGCAGAGTGGAGGGAGTGAGAGGAAAGGGGGATAATGCAGAGTGGAGGGAGTGAGAGCGAGGAGAGGGACAGAGTGGAGAGAGTGAGAGCATGGTATCTTTCCAAGTCTACAGAATAACTGATTGATTGATGTTTATTGTCCTTCAAAATAAAATATGTGTACTGTAAATAAAGCATGCAATTGAAAGGTGAACTGCAGTTGAAGTATAGCAATGGACAATTATTACTCTACTAAGAGGCATTTACTTTGGCTATGTAAGTCATGACATTATAGTTGATCCTTACATCCCAGCAGAGAGGAGGGTGCGGGTCACCCTGGGCATGGTGACAGCCACACCGTCAGGGCCGATCTCCAGGTCATTGCCATCCAGCATGGCCTCTCCTCCGTCTGCAGGGACCATGTTGAGGGCTTTCTCTGCTGGCTCTAAAAAGGCTGCAACTAGAAGCAGGAAGGTATCAATAAAAATCACATTTGAGGAGAGAATGTGGTGGAAACTTAACAGTGCATGTGATGGGGTAGTCAATAATGTAACAATGTAAAAAAGGTGGAATCTGTCTCACTTTTCTTCTTTGCTGCTATAGTTGCAGTGCTAGGTTTCCGTCCTCCTTTGGCCCTCTTCCCCGGCCTGCCCAGCATTCTTTTGGGAGCTGGCAGAGGAGGAGCAGGGATGGGCTCAGCACTGGGGCCGTCATCAGGGGTTACCAGTTCTGCTTCTTCCTGCTGCTGGGGTTGGTCATCAGGGGGTGGGGCTACAGCCTTCACTTCCTGCAGGTGGCTCAAAAGGTGGTCTGGGAAGAAGACAGGTGGAAGGATGGGGAAATTGAACTTTTCATGTAAATAGAGAAGAGCACCTCTTCCTCTTCACTACTGTCCTGATTAAAACGAGCCATTCAGCCGCCTGTCTTAAGCCAGCTCTGAAGCCATCAACCATCATGGCTACCTTCTATGTAATGCAAGTGCTAGTGTTCATGAGGAGGAACTTTGTTTCCCAGCTCCAGCACCAGTTATAACAATATGAGACCATCTACTCCTCCTTCCCTGTCTTTCTATGGTTAGTCTTGGTGGTGTGGCAGTCATTGACCGGTCAGGAGCTGTCGCTCCACAAACACAGCCCTGGCCCTGGCCTACTGGACACAAAGCATGGGTCGGGTCAACCCAGCAAGAGAAGGAATGTAGGGCCGTGTGTTGGTTTCTCTAAAACTAAATCTCCTGTCCACTACAGTGTTGTCTTGTCATTCTGAAATGATTCTGATCTGCGCAGTGGCTAACACTGCACTCCAGTGCTACTGTCCACTAGAGAGCGAATGCTCTGTCGAAACCGGAGACCCATGAGGCACGCAAATTGGCCAGGTCGTCATGGTAGGGAGGACTGCCGCAGGATGTATTTGTAGAGCTGGCGTTTGCAATCATTAATGCATGTGCTATGTAAGTCGCTCTGGATAAGAGCGTCTCTAATGATAAATGTAAATAAATGTATACTCATTGATTAGTTATGATGGAGAGTTATTCCTCAAATGTTAAGGGGCTTAATAATATGTGGCTGAACTGTTACTGTAACAGAAACGGCTCATTATTCACTTATTTACAGCAGAGGTATTTCATCTAACAGTGGTTTCATGAGAAGGTGTTGATGTATGCCAGGAAAATATTTGTGGCATCCCTGGGAGTGAGCTCACCTGCATCATTCTCTCCAACCACTAGGGGCTGTGACGCACCAGCTTTACTCAAAGCCCCCTCTGGCATGGTAGAGGTAGTATCCACATCTGAGAGATAAGGGAGGGACAAAAATAGGACAACGCTGTCACATATTTCATATTGAATATGTGCTTAGCAATAGAACAGCAGGGTTAAAGCTACAGTACACCAGTTTGCATCTCAGGAGACAATGATGCAGAATCCAGTCTGCCAGTGGGGCTCCATACCTGCTGGAGGTGGAGGGTCTGGGGCCTTCAGGATGGGCCTCTCCATCTTCTTGGCATAAAAGGCCCCATACCAAACCCTCAGCTCAGACCCTGGCAGCACATCCTGGGGAAAAGACAGAGGGTTACAATATGAAAGAGGAGGGAACCATCTATGTGTCTCCAGGAAGAGAAGAGCTCTCTCCCATTTGTACACCACCTAGTATGTAGTGATGTATTGGCCATGAACACTAAATAGTATGCTAGTGTGGATATCGGGACATATCCAATAAAGAATGACCAAAACTGTTCTCAGTTGCTTTGTTTGGGGGAGTTGGTATATGATACCTGTGAGGTGTTGAAGTAGACCTCATCATCCTGCTGGTAAGCAGTCAGGTTCTGGTGCTGATGGTCAGTGGCGGGCCGAACCAGCATCATCCAGTTACAGTCATCCTCATTGGCTGAGTCAAAACAGACTACCAGGCCATCTCTCTGGAAGATCTGTCCAGGTCACAAACAAAACCAAAGAATACAGAGAGTGGGATTTTAACACCATCGCAAACAACACACAACATATAACAAATATTTCTCCATAATAACAGCAGCCTAAGTTGAGAATGCACCTTCAGAGGGAACAGGCCTTCTTTGTCCAGGTGGGATACTCTCCTAGCCTCGAAGGGACCAAACCTAGTCCTCTTGACCAGACGTCGGAGGACAAACACTCCCTCCCTCCCATCTGGCACCTGTCTGATCTCCAGACTCTCCGGCAGAGAGGACCTGACCCATGACAAACACACAATACAACTTCTATCAATACATAGCCTCCTCCATTCCTGTTCCTCCAATATCAGGTTAAAGATTTGCTGCTTTAAATACACTATTTGTAAGATTACCAGCTAAGGTGGAAACCCACTCAACACTGGTGTCAGTAACCCTCTCACTAGGTAGCTTGCATGGTGGACTTTTACTCACCGCGCTCTGCTGAGAACAAATGAGTCCTGTACAGTCACCACTGGTCCCAGCTCTGGACACTCAGAGTCATGATACTGCCCACAGTCCTCACACCCTGACGGGTACCATCAAAAAGTAACATATCAGATACCACATACTCTGATGTCTAAATAGGCACAGGCATGCAATGTGAAATACCTACACATACGCGTGTAGGGCTAGATACACACCACAGGCACGCACACATAGGGAGCAAAAGAGCTACAATAGTAAATCAATGTGCACTATGCCTATATGTGCATAACTACCTCAATTACCATTGACGCGGTACTTGTCCTACCTGTATATAGCCATGATATGTTTACTCGTTATTGTTATTCACTGTGTATTTATTCCTTGTGTCACTATTTCTATATTTTATCTTTAACTTTGCATTGTTGGACAAGAACCTGCAAGTAAGTTAGTCTACACCTGTTGTTTACGAAGCATGTGACAAATAAACTCGGATGCCATTTCAAAGGTGTTGAAGTTTTCAGTATACTCACAGATAAACTCATCTGGTTGCTCCGTCATCATGACAATCTGCACATTCAAGAAAGAGATGTTGTTACAAATCTTCGTAAAGTGTGTATTGTGTATCATTTGCTTTATCTAAATCAAAACTTTTAAGAGTTTAAAGGGGATATCCGCAGTTGATACATCAATTTCTGGACTTTTAAATTAATAATGTATATGCATTGATTCTTGAAGGATATAACTTGAGTTTAGTGCACATGTCAAACTCATTCCACGGAGGGCCGAGTGTCTGCAGGGTTTTCACTCCTCCCTTGGACTTGATTGATGAATTAAGGTCACGGATTAGAAAGGAACTCCCCTCACCTGATTGTCTAGGTCTTAATTGAAAGGAAAACCACAAACCCTCCATGGAATGAGTTTGACTCCCCTGGTTTAGCGCAAATTTCCATCAGAACCCTAAATATAAGCTTGTTTTACGCCAATGTTTGTAAACATTGTAACTGTAGGGCCTAAACAACACTGTATAGCCTCAAGATATTCTTAATACTATTATTTTGATATCTTGGATGGTCAGTCCTTGCATCAATAGTTCTATGAAATGCAGTGGTTACATTTCTTCAGGCCCATCCCTCAGCTTTTTACCAAAAAGGTGGAGTTGCCGATTTGTTATTTACAAGCTACATTATTACTTAGAGATTATCATTACATTTTCACTACATGATCATAGATACTACTATATTTGTTGACACTGTTAGTTACAACAGAAATACATTAAGACATGCCAAATGGATTGGTCAAATGTATGAATTCTGAAGAATGTGAGCAATCCTCTGAAGCAGTCCAAGAGTGGCAAATGTGAGGCCTACACTTCTTGACTAATGTGGATAACTCAACCTGGAGCTAAATTCTGGTCAAAAACAGTGGTGTGGTAAATGTATGGGGACCTCACTAAAGCAAAGGCCATTCTTCTCCAGTATGAAAATTACACTGTGTATTCCACGCTAATCACAATTCAGCAGAGTAGCTACATATTAATAAAGACGATCCAGTAAAGAACGGGATCCAGGATTTCACCAGATTCCAAACTCTAGCCGGGTTTTAACTCCGATCTCAGCCTACTCCGTCTTCTGCAGTCATGCAAATGTAACAAAGAACAATCGGCATGGCGGCTGGATTGGAGACGCAAACCCCATCTGGAGCCAGTTAATTTCAACGTCAGAACGGCGTTATACTGGCCTCTCCAGGAGATTCCGTGTGCACCTCGCACACTAAAAATATATATTTCTGCACCTTGGCACAATTATTGTTTGTTAAAACTGCAGAAGTTAGAAATAAACACGTTACCTGTTTTCCAAACGACTACACATTTATTGAATCCTGACTCCGGGTTGCAATCCGCTCCAGAAACCGCGCAGGACCGGAAATGCAGTGAAGTGCACCCTGGGAATCGTAGTTTTGCTCAATCGCTCGAGTTATCAATGGGAATATCTCATTCATGACTCGATTGCTTTACACAATTAACGCACCTCTTTGAATGCACTAGATCTATATTACGTTAAAATTTAATTGCTTAAAACAGGTGTGGCCTTCAAACATAAAATACATATAGCCCTAATAATCAGAGAAAGGCAATAAGCATTTTGTCACAGAGATTCAAAGAAAACCGAACACTTGGGTGGTTATTCAGTTAATATTTATTGCTCAAGATGTTACACCTTTTATGTCAATAATTAGTAATAATCCCTGCATGGCATTGACTCCCATTCAATATTAGCAGGCAACCAGGTTCTGTGCATTTCACAGAGCCAATATAAAATGTCAGCAAGCTGTTTAATAATATACAGGCCCACTGCTTACTGAAATGCATAATCTTGCACTTGTCAGTAGCCATCTACAGTGAGGGAAAAAATTATTTGATCCCCTGCTGATTTTGTACGTTTGCCCACTGACAAAGACATGATCAGTCTATAATTTTAATGGTAGGTTTATTTGAACAGTGAGACAGAATAACAACAAAGAAATCCAGAAAAACACATGTCAGAAATGTTATGAATTGATTTGCATTTTAATGAGGGAAATAAGTATTTGACCCCTCTGCAAAACATGACTTAGTACTTGGTGGCAAAACCCTTGTTGGCAATCACAGAGGTTGTTTCTTGTAGTTGGCCACCAGGTTTGCACACATCTCAGGAGGGATTTTGTTCCACTCCTCTTTGCAGATCTTCTCCAAGTCATTAAGTTTTCGAGGCTGACATTTGGCAACTCAAACCTTCAGCTCCCTCCACAGATTTTCTATGGGATTAAGGTCTGGAGACTGGCTAGGCCACTCCAGGTCCTTAATGTGCTTCTCCTTGAGCCACTCCTTTGTTGCCTTGGCTGTGTGTTTTGGGTCATTGTCATGCTGGAATACCCATCTACAATCCATTTTCAATGCCCTGGCTGAGGGAAGGAGGTTCTCACCCAAGATTTGACGGTACATGGCCCCGTCCATCGTCCCTTTGATGTGGTGAAGTTGTCCTGTCCCCTTAGCAGAAAAACACCCCCAAAGCATAATGTTTCCACCTCCATGTTTGACGGTGGGGATGGTGTTCTTGGGGTCATAGGCAGCATTCCTCCTCCTCCAAACACGGCGAGTTGAGTTGATGCCAAAGAGCTCGATTTTGGTCTCATCTAACCACAACACTTTCACCCAGTTCTCCTCTGAATCATTCAGATGTTCATTGGCAAACTTCAGACAGCCCTGTATATGTGCTTTCTTGAGCAGGGGGACCTTGCGGGCGCTGCAGGATTTCAGTCCTTCACGGCGTAGTGTGTTACCAATTGTTTTCTTGGTGACTATAGTCCCAGCTGCCTTGAGATCATTGACAAGATCCTCCTGTGTAGTTCTGGGCTGATTCCTCACCGTTCTCATGATCATTGCAACTCCACGAGGTGAGATCTTGCATGGAGCCCCAGGCCGAGGGAGATTGACAGTTATTTTGTGTTTCTTCCATTTGCGAATAATCGCACCAACTGTTGTCACCTTCTCACCAAGCTGCTTGGCGATGGTCTTGTAGCCCATTCCAGCCTTGTGTAGGTCTACAATCTTGTCCCTGACATCCTTGGAGAGCTCTTTGGTCTTGGCCATGGTGGAGAGTTTGGAATCTGATTGATTGATTGCTTCTGTGGACAGGTGTCTTTTATACAGGTAACAAACTGAGATTAGGAGCACTCCCTTTAAGAGTGTGCTCCGAATCTCAGCTCGTTACCTGTATAAAAGACACCTGGGAGCCAGAAATCTTTCTGATTGAGAGGGGGTCAAATACTTATTTCCCTCATTAAAATGCAAATTAATTCATAACATTTTTACGTGTTTTTCTGGATTTTTTTGTTGTTATTCTGTCTCTCACTGTTCAAATTAACCTACCATTAAAATTATAGATTGATCATTTCTTTGTCAGTGGGCAAACTTACAAAATCAGCAGGGGATCAAATACTTTTTTCCCTCACTGTATTAGGCGTAGAATCAAGTTTGCAAGGTTAAAACACCCCACATTATTTTATGACTTTGGGTTTCGGCACACAGTGGCTTGCGAAAGTATTCACCCCCCTTGGCATTTTTCCTATTTTGTTGGCTTACAACCTGGAATTAAAATGGATTTTTGGGGGGTTTGTATCATTTGATTTACACAATATGCCTACCACTTTGAAGATGAAAATATTTTTCTTGTGAAACAAACAAGAAATAAGACAAAAAAACAGAAGTCAATACTTTGTAGAGCCACCTTTTGCAGCAATTACAGCTGCAAGTTTCTTGGGGTATGTCTCTATAAGCTTGGCACATCTAGCCACTGGGATTTTTGCCCATTCTTCAAGGCAAAACTGCTCCAGCTCCTTCAAGTTGGATGGGTCCCGCTGGTGTACAGCAATCTTTAAGTCATACCACATATTCTCAATTGGATTGAGGTCTGGGCTTTGACTAGGCCATTCCAAGACATTTAAATGTTGGGGATGGTGTTCTCAGGGTGATGAGAGATGTTGGGTTTGCACCAGACATAGCATTTTCCTTGATGGCCAAAAAGCTCAAATTTAGTCTCATCTGACCAGAGTACCTTCTTCCATATGTTTGGGGAGTCTCCCACATGCCTTTTGGCGAACACCAATTGTGTTTGCTTATTTCTTTCTTTATGTAATGGCTTTTTTCTGGCCACTCTTCCGTAAAGCCCAGCTCTGTGGCGTGTACGGCTTAAAGTGGTCCTATGGACAGATACTCCAATCTCCGCTGTGGAGCTTTGCAGCTCCTTCAGGGTTATCTTTGTTGCCTTTCTGATTAATGCCCTCTTTGCCTGGTCCATGAGATTTGGTGGGCGGCCCTCTCTTGGCAGGTTTGTTGTGGTGCCATATTCTTTCCATTTTTAACAATGGATTTAATGGTGCTCTGTGGGATGTTCAATGTTTTGGATGTTTTTTTTATAACCCAACCTTGATCTGTACTTCTCCACAACTTTGTCGCTGACCTATTTGTAGAGCTCCTTGGTCTTCATGGTGCCCCTTGCTTGGTGGTGTTGTAGACTCAGGGGCCTTTCAGAACAGGTGTATATATACTGAGATCATGTGACAGATCATGTGATACTTAGATTGCACACAGGTGGACTTTATTCAACTAATTATGTGACTTCTGAAGGTAATTGGTTGCACCAGATCTTATTTAGGGGCTTCATAGCAAAGGGGGTGAATACATATGCATGCACCACTTTTTCATTATGAAAAATCTAGAATCTAGAAATATTTTTAAAAAGTTATTTTTTTCATTTCACTTCACCAATTTGGACTATTTTGTGTATGTCCATTACATTAAATCCAAATAAAAATCCATTTAAATTACAGGTTGTAATGCAACAAAATAGGAAAAACGCCAAGGGGGATGAATACTTTTGCAAGGCACTGTACATCTCAAGCTGCAAGATGGCTCTAAAAGAGACCTTATTTACTGAAACAAGCTGCAGTCTGGTCATTGGTAACACTACCAGGAGCTTATGTCAGTATTTGACCCACCCCTGTTCAAATATGTGACCTGTTACAGGAACTGAGGCGTTTGACACTGGTTCCTAATTCACAGTAGGGCCGTTAAAAATAAAGCATAATCTGGACACATATAACCCATACAGTATCTACAGACAGAGAACTTAGTTAATGCGGTTGTTCAATAAACATAAATGGCATACCCCAGTGTAATCAGTCAGTCATCCATGGATATGATAAAAACAGGGCTCATTGATTATAGTTTTCATATGGGTTGTTGAGGGGAAATCGAACTGGCCCCTCAATCTAATTTTAAAGCCATTCAGCAACATTGTCAAGTACTCCGAAAACACCAGATGATAGGTATAGATAGCATGGCCAGGGAGTCCCAAGTCATTCCTGAACAATTGACAATTTCCAAGAGGTAATCCCACTACAGTTTGTCACTACTACACAGGTAGAAGAACTGTTCTCCAGTCTTTTCAAAAGCCTTGTAAACAGTAGGGCATCTGACTACCATGTCCATCTTGAGTAATGCCGTCATGTCCATAAGAGTATAGCAGTCCTCTCAGTAGGTTCATTAGATGAGAAGAAAAACAGTAGCTGGCAGGGAATTGATCTTAGACAACTCATTTCATTTACCTGTTTAAATTAAAGTACAATCATTAGCTAGATAAAATCCCAAAGCAGTCAAACCATTCAGATGTCCTAAAGATTTTAATTATCATCCTTTCTGTTTAGACAATTTTTAAAGCTCTATGATACATTTCATTTTTAAAACAATAAAAAACATAGCAAAAACATGTAATTCAGCAGAAATGTATGAGTGAATGACCACTGCGTTTTTAGTGAACAGTGAACACTGCACAAGTGTGCCTTGGGGTAGTGTCACGTTAGTTCCCTCTCTCAGCACGATGTCATTGGGGTTCCATTTTCCACCTCACCAACCCCAGGCAGTTGTAGTGTAGGGAATCTTTAGGTTGGAAAACTAGAGGAAATTGCATATAATTTTAAAACACTGCAATATTTAAAAGAAAAAGTGATAATACAAAAACATTTTTGTTGTTGTTGTAAATATCAAACAGAAAATTGCACTTTTCATGTTCTCCATTATGTCACTGCACTGTTTTGAAATAGTGTTTATGGTGGAAATTCCAAAACTCAATGAATTCTTTATTACCAACCGTAATTTTGGACTTTCCAAAACTGTATGAGATAACCAGTGAATGACATACATCAAATATGTCATTTACACAGATCTGCCATAACAGTTCATGTCTGAAATGTTTAGTCTGGCATAGGATTTTCACAGTAGCTCTGAAGTTTGTATGTGAATTTACTTTAGATAAGATGTCTTGAATTAAAATGTTAGGCTTTATCATCTCCCACTAGTATCAGCCTTGCACAGGAACAAACTGTCTCCCTTTGTCAACACAAACTCCTATCTCAATCATATAGGGCCTACACAAGCTGCTTGCTATTTATATAGATAGCCTCTATCACAAGAGCAGTTCAAGTAATTGCTCTTAAAAAGCTTAAGAATCAAACCTTGAGTGTAAAACCTAGAAAATGTATTTAGCAATGTGTACAAATCATGTCAACACCACTCTTCTCTCCTTCTTTGGTCCCTCTGGACCACCTTCCAAAGGTCAGGGTTGACCTTACTACCAAAGATTTTTATAACCAAGATTGACCAGAGCCTGTCGTTTCCAATGAGAGCAAATTAATCATAGTGGGCAGAACAAGCAAGGAGGTGGGCAGAGCCAAGCACGAGCTAGTGAGATCCTATTGGTGCGTTCTAGCATTTATTTTAATATTTCCATTAGGGAAACACCTACTCTGTGAAGTGTGCGTGTGCAATAACCAAATTTGCATTTGCACTCCTAAACAATGCCATTTTTAAAACTTTGGCAAAGGGTAAAGTCTACAAAATGCAGTCCACTCGGTTTGTTACAGATTCTAGTTTTGGAAACAGAAAACTGTATGGAGATCAAATGTTTCTTCCATGAGAAAATTAGCAGAATGTTGGCCAAAATCCATCTCACAAAATCTTCTCCCACTGATGACCACTGAGCTTCCTCTCATCACCATATTTGGTAGTGAGTGGAAACACCAACCAGATGCTTCACATTTATACATCCGGTGAAATATCTGGCTCATTGTTCTATCTGTGTTACTACCCTCTCTAATAGGATGAGGGTGCAGGTTGGCCACCAGTAGTTATTCTGGTTTAGAAGGCCACAAATACAGAATATGTTGCAAGAATGTTGCCAAAAAATTATCATGACATTTTTTAAATTAGCATTACCCAAAAACACACTCTCTTTATCAAATATTTTGCTCCAAAAAAAAGTGAGAGTTGAGGAAGAGCAGGAGGGAGGGCGATGAAGAGAATATTTTACCTCCATACTGCCTTCCAACCAGTAATGGAAGATTCACGGATTGGGAAGTGGGGTCTCTTAGTCAGTGCAAGGTGGTAGAGGTGGAGGCGACGTGGGGGGCTGGAGGACTATCAGAGGGGAAGGAGAGGAGTGGGGGGCTGGAGGACTATCAGAGGGGAAGGAGAGAGAGGTAGGGGTGGAGGAGTGGAGGGCTGGAGGACTAGAGGAGGGGAAGGAGAGGGTGGTACGGGTGGTGGGTGGGGGCTGGAGGACTATCGGGGGTGGTACGGGTGGGAGTGGGGGGGCTGGAGGACTATCGGAGGGGAAGGAGAGGGTGGTACGGGTGGTGGAGTGGGGGGCTGGAGGACTATCGGAGGGGAAGGAGAGGGTGGTACGGGTGGTGGAGTGGGGGGCTGGAGGACTATCGGAGGGGAAGGAGAGGGTGGTACGGGTGGTGGAGTGGGGGGCTGGAGGTCTAGAGGAGGGGGTAGAGGCAGTAGCGGGGGCGGCTGGCGGACTATCGGAGGGGGGGGGGTCATGCTGCATGCTGCTCCCCCGGGGTAGGAGCGGGTGTCAGGGTTTGGGTGGTGGTGGTGGTGGTGGTGGTGGAGCCGTTGGCTTTGCTCTTGGGCAGCAGCTTGCGGTTCAGCATCCGGCTGAAGGTGGCCGTGCGTTTCTCCCGTTCTACCGTCACAGGCTGCTCCAGGTACACCAGGTCGTTGTGCGACTGGCTCATCCCCGGGTCCTTGCACTGGCGGCGCCGGCGGAAGAACAGCTTGGCACTCCTGTGCAGGAAGCTGCCTCCTGGTGGGAGGGAGAGGAGGAAACCAGAGAAGGTTGTCCTAAATTAATATAATTCATTTTACATTTTAGTCATTTAGCAGACGCCCTTATCCAGAGCGACTTACAGTTAGTGCATTAAATCTTAAGACAACCACATATCACAGACAGAAAGTACATTTTTCCTCAATAACGTAGCTATCAGTAGAGTAGGGAGGGGTGGGTGGGGGGATTTTTTAAAATTATGTTTGAAGAGGTAGGGTTTGAGATGTTTTGGGAAAATGGGCAGGGACTCTGCTGTCCTCGCTGACAGTAACTGTCAGATAGTGTCCTCTACTACCCTCATAATGCCACAGTCTATATTCACTAATACGATAATGCAAAAAACATGAATTCTTGTTTGCACAATGCACCTCATAAATTGGAGCCAAGTTATACGCAAGAGATACTGTGAATATGTGGGCCAACGTTCACCCTTTGGGCTTGTTTTGAGCCCAGAGGAAAATCCCGGCTCCATTTGAGCGTTTAGGAAACTTGACACACGCTTCAATACAAAGCCTTGCCAGATACATCCAGATACCGATAATTTTACCTTGGGAGGAGAAGAAAGGTGGACCACATCTTTATGCAAACCATATGTTGATGAATGGGAGTTAATTAGGGTAAGTGGGTAAACAACAAACACCATTGAACAAGGACAAAGTCTCAAGGTGAAAACAAGGACAATCAAACACGGACAAAGAAGAGGTCAAAGAGAGAAAGTGGATTAACTAATAAATCTGGACTTGAAAAATAGAACCGACCTTGACAGAATGCACCTAAAACTGCTCCTTACAACCAAACTAGGCACTGTTCCAGCCTAAAATTTAATGGATGTTATACCATCTGAAAGCAAATGTGAATGTCACACTTCACAGATGGATAGCATTTTAATCTAGTCACTACTGTACCAAGCTACAAACAGCTGTCCGTGAGGTAACTTACTCTTCAGGAAATAATTTCTGATTAGTTTCCTCTAAGATGGCAAAGAAGAAAGTGACAAGGGAAGACATGATGAGAAATTGTGACAGGAGGAAGGAATGATGAGAAATGACATAAATGAGATGGAAAGAGAGAGGGGGAGAGAAAGACAGAAAATAACAGACAGGAGTGTTGACCAGGATCATTAGGAATTGAACAGTGTAAGATAGGTACAAAAGTGATATGCCCAGTAGAATATTTTATGACAGAATAAGGCCAAAAATAGACACAGCAATGAGATGTTGAAAGTCTGCACGGGGCTGGCATAGGGCACATTCCATAAAATCTCACCTCTGCTCTTTTTGGATCCAGACTCTGAGATGCAGAGTGACATTGAGGTTTTGTCTGCATCTCTGTCTGTGTCCTCTCCTGCTTGGCACTCCCAGTCCTCCGGGACCTGCTGGGCTTGAGCCTGGGACACTCCACTGGGGCCCTCCTGGGGGTCCGACGACACCTCCGGGGGGTTGCTACTGGCTTTTACTACTGACGCAGTTGCCACAGCAATCTCCTGAGATCCCCCATCTGACATAGAGGCGTCCATCGCAGCAGCGTAGCCTGCCATCAGAGCCATCTCATCATCCTGAGACAGAGGAGTCTGGGAAATGGAGTACAGAATAGAAAACCCACTGTTGGAGGTAGAGAGTGTACTGCCTAGCTGCTCTGTATGGTACGTCTTTGGGTTTCAGAAAAGCCCTATACAAATCCTATGTATTATTATGGTACCTTGGTCACTCCTGAGATGATGATGGTGCTCTTCTTGACCGGGGACTTGAGCTTCTGCTTGGCGGACTCGTGGAGCTGGCGGATGGCGGCCTCGGCCACAGGGTCGGTCCCGTTGAGCATGAGCAGCTCTGTGTCAGAGGACGACAAGGCCTTGCTCCCCATGGTCCCCAGCATGGACGGCTTCTCTGACACCCTCCGTCCAGACACCTTGGACATGGTGCCGCTGGGAGGATTGGAGGGAGTCTCTGAAAACATACAAGATCACTTGGATAGTTGCCTTATAAACTAATAACTTAATACAAATATCTTTTTTATTTTTGATACATTTTATTTGAAATAATCTAAGCCCATCTCCTGTAAGAAACATCTCATAGTAAGGATAAGACTAGACTAGAGACAGTAATGTGTCAAAAAGCCTGAACATCAAAGCCCCAGAGAACGGTTGTCTGTAGTATGTGGATAAGAAGGACTATATTACCTCCAAATGAGTCTCTTCTTGCCATATTTTTGGTGTTCCATCTTAAACGTTAATTCAATACGTACGCTGGGTTGTATTTATGCTGAGTCCAGGCAGTAGTAGTCGTCCTGGTTTACTCTTCACTGCAGTGACTGTGGTGACCACAGTACCGCAGGGCATGACCGTGCGGTCCATCTCCACTCTCTTAGTGGGGGCTGGAGTAGGGGGCTGCCAAGACCGCACCTCACTGGGTTCCAGGTAGGTAAACTGGGGTACAAGAGAAAGGAGGTAAAGACATGATTATCATATGTGTTCAAGTATAACTGGTTGGAATTTCAATAAAACTTCTAAAACATTGTGTAAAACATGAAGGTGTTGGAAAAGACATGCATTTGATATGCATTAAGAAGTTAAAAGGTAGTGATCTTACCTCAGTAGTAAGTGACCCAGTCACTTGGTCTTTGGTCATGAGTGCAAATGTTTGCGGTCCTTTGGGCTGCTTCTTCACCAGATCAAAAGGCACGGACACTTGACCCAGTATGGAGTCTGTCAGGAAGACAACACATCCCAATCAGTTTGCCATTACAAGACTTCATACATACAGGAAAAATATCTGAGTAAAATGACAGACAACAGAGGACATTTTAAGGCTGTCAGACATATAAAGCTTTCATTGTTCTTAAAATCAACTTCAAAGTAAAACTATTTTGGGTGTGTATCAGACAGATTATTAGTGTCATTCCCTCTCCTTGTGCCTAAAGAGATACAAAACAAAGACATACTTACTCTCCTGAGGTTTCCCATCATCCAGCAGCTGAATATTGAGCTCTTTTGATCGTCCATTCAGCTCACTGGTGAGAGAAAGAGAAAAAGAGGAACATTTACTCTGAAAACGAGCAATAGAAAGACAATGAAGGCGAGAGGAGGACTGTGGGTTGGATATTATGCAACTGGTGGCAAGTGTTTACTAAGCGATTGAGCTCACAGGCTACAAATTCATTTTTGTTTTCCCTATAGACAGGGCTCTGTAAAGACTGGACTCACAAGATGAAGGGCTGGTCCCAGGCTGGGCTGGCTGTGTTCTGTAGGACTAAAGTGGAGAATTTCTGTGGAGGGTCGTCTAGCTGCAGCACACACAGGGGATTCGTACTGCCTGCAAAGTGCAAACAACAGAAGATGAGTTGAACAGAAATACATGTTCACATACAAATCAAACATTGGGGTTGGGGATATTGAAATACCAGTCAATACAGTACACTGACAACCCAATTTTTGAACATTAGATCAAATTGACTTTAGATATCTGAACCACAGAACTGGAATGAGTTCATTCTATTTCTATGGTCTGAACACTTTAGTTTAATAGCATGCTAATAACTTTGAGTGACTTTGTGACTAGTACATGTCAATGGATGAGCTAAATTGGTCTGGCTATCAGGCTCATAACGGAATGAATAATGCATCAACTGGAAGAGACACACGTTGCCCTAGCTATTGGCTAACTAAACACTCAGCTTCAGGCTGGACTGAGGCTAAGCTAAGGGGAATAAAGCCATTACAAGATAGCAGGAAACTTTATTAGTGACTGACAAGCCAGGTTGAAACTCAATGAAAGGGACCTGGATTGCTTTAATTAATTAAATATCTACAGTTAGGTAGAGCTTTTCAGACAGCACACCCCAAAAAGCTGCTGCCTCCTTAGCTTTGGGCCACAGCCAATTTCATAACAAACCCTACCAGCATAATTACCCTCTTTGCTTTAATGAAAAATAAGCAACTTGGGAGAGAAGTGGGGAACACCACACATCTAATTTATCAACCATAATGTATTTAGGGAGTGAGGGAGAGACGCTCTGCCCCTGCTGTGGGGTGATGAGCTGCAGCTATGACAGCCTTGCTACTGTAGGAAAGTGTAGAACCACAGTGATTCGGGTTCAATGGGTTAAACAGGTCAGAAAAGAACACAAGTCTCAGTGGCTCCTTGGGTTGCATGATGCAGTCATCTCTGCTGGCAGCCACCTCAAGATGAGGCACATTTGGAGCTGTAACAACACTTCAGTGTTTTGATCACATTTTACATTTACATTTGAGTCATTTAGCAGACGCTCTTATCCAGAGTGACTTACAGTTAGTGAGCGCATACATTTTCATACTGGAATCGAACCCACAACCCTGGCGTTGCAAACACCATGCTCTACCAACGGAGCTACATCCCTGCCGGCCATTCCCTCCCCTACCCTGGACGACGCTGGGCCAGTTGTGCGCCGCCATGTCTCCCGGTCACGGCCGGCTACGACAGAGCCTGGATTCGAACCAGGATCTCTAGTGGCACAGCTAGCACTGCGATGCAGTGCCTTAGACCACTGCGCCACTCGTTTCCATAGTTGAACCAGGTTGTGACCCAGTGGTGTCCCTCACCTGCAGCACCATCCTCCTGCTCCTTACACGTCACCCGGATATTCTTCACCAGCAGCTTCCAGTCATGAGCGCGGGGGGGCTTGGGCGGTGATGTCACCTTGTTATTGGCCTCCTACAGAAGGTGACAGAACATGCCGATACTACGCACTTCCATATACCATGTAGTGCAGAGTATAAATATAGAGCTAGAGGGTGTGCAGGCTTTTGTTCCAGCCCAGCACTAACACACCTGACTCAAGAACATGGGGTGTAGAGACTAAGCAACCTATCTATGTTGCTATCTAGCGCTTCGGCATATCTATCAATGGAGAGGTATAGAGATGGCCACTGGGTGACAGGAGCACGATGTGCTGACGGGGTGTTTTTGTTGTCGTATGTCCTCCTCTCACCTTGACCTCTGTGGCCTGAGCAGGCCTGCAACTCAGCATCACGGAGGGACGCACCACACACAGTAGCTGTCTCAGCCTGTCCTTTACTGCAGCCACACTGGGGCCTGTGGCATTGTCCTGACAGAGACATAAAACAAACAAACCGATCAACGATCCCATCATATCAATAGCAATCATCTCCATTACACTTTGACTTGTCTGGACTGCTGGTTTTGGGATACATCATAAAGAATTATGTTCAGGTTTGCAGTTTACACACAAGAAGTATTGAAGCGCTTACTTTGTTTTTCAAATGTGTATTGCCTCTTTAACACTACAACTGAGACAGTGGGCTATGGGCCGTACCGGTGTGAAGATGGGGGTGAGCTGCAGGTCCCATGTCTCCAGATGGGACACCCCCCAGCCCACCTGGACCTGACCTTCAGCCTCCCTCATCTGCAAGTTCAACTGGGGAACAGAGGGCAACAGAACCACCATAAGCAACAACACAGTCACACACACACTGCTCAGAGTGCAAGCCAACACAATGAGCTGTAATTGAGCAGTCCAGCACAGAGAGACTAAGTGAGAGACAGGGAGCGAGAGTGGGGGTGATCGACAGAGAGGGAGGACTGTGTACTAGTGACTGGGCCATCCTAGGGCTGTTACGGTGACCGTATAACCGGCGGTCACGAGTCATGACTGCAGTCAAATTCCACATGACCGTTTAGTCACGGTAACTAGGTTAATTAGTAGCCTACAAAACTTGCTAACTGCCTGGTACTCAGTACTCTATTGTCCCTCTAATCACTCGGACATCAATGCAAATGTGATCGGAAATCTAATCAAACACTTCATGAGAGCCCATGAGGTCATGTTGCGCAACATTTCTATAGGCTACGCAATTGTGTGAGAAAACAGAGTTGATGGCCTCTATTAAAAAGAGGATCTCATCAGCTTTCTATAGGCTTACTATATTTATTTATCCACTTTCCTAATATTAAACACATTGCTTCGCTTTACAACAGGAGTATAGCCTAATTGGCTAGCATGAAAATGAACCACAGGAAAAGCATCCTCCATTCGCTATTTAAGTGCATAGATTACATTAATTTTTTTGTTCCGAGACAGTTGCATGATAATGGTCCATCCTAAATCCAAACTAATTTCACACATACACTACCGGTCAAAAGTTTTAGAACACGTACTATGTTATTTCATCAAAACTATGAAATAACATATATGGAATCATGTCGTAACCCAAAAAGTGTTAAACAAATCAAAATATATTTTGATACATTTCAATTAACAGGTGTGCCTTGTTAAAAGTTACTTTTTGAGATTCTTCAAATAGCCACCCTTTGCCTTGATGACAGCTTTGCATACTCTTGGCATTCTCTCAACCAGCTTCATGAGGTAGTCACCTGGAAATCAAATAAAATTTTATTTGCCACATACGCCGAATACAACCTTACAGAATTAAAGTGACTATGCATAAACAATAAACAGAGTAGCAGCAGCGTAAAAGAGGGGGTGGGGGTAACAATGCAAATATTCCGGGTAGCCATTTGATTAGCTGTTCAGGAGTCTTATGGCTTGGGGGTAGAAGCTGTTAAGAAGCCTTTTGGACCTAGACTTGGCACTCCGGTACATTACAGTGAAATGCTTACTTACAGCCCTTAACCAACAGTGCATTTCTTTAACAAAAAAAAGTGTTGAGAAAAAAAGAGCAGAAGTAAAATTAAATAACAGTAGGGAGGCTATATACAGGGGGGTACCGGTGCAGAGTCAATGTGCGGGGGCACCGGCTAGTTGAGGTAGTTGAAGTAATATGTACATGTGGGTAGAGTTAAAGTGACTATGCATAAATAATTAACAGAGTAGCAGCAGCGTAAAAGGATGGGGTGGGGGGGCAGTGCAAATAGTCCGGGTAGCCATGATTAGCTGTTCAGGAGTCTTATGGCTTGGGGGTAGAAGCTGTTGAGAAGCCTTTTGGACCTGGACTTGGCACTCCGGTACCGCTTGCCGTGCGGTAGCAGAGAGAACAGTCTATGACTAGGCTGGCTGGAGTCTTTGACAATTTTGAGGGCCTTCCTCTGACACCGCCTGGTATAGAGGTCCTGGATGGCAGGAAGCTTGGCCCCAGTGATGTACTGGGCCTACGCACTACCCTCTGTAGTGCCTTGCGGTCGGAGGCCAAGCAGTTGCCATACCAGGCGGTGATGCAACCAGTCAGGATGCTCTCGATGGTGCAGCTGTATAATTTTTTGAGGATCTGAGGACCCATGCCAAATCTTTTCAGTCTCCTGAGGGGGAATAGGCTTTGTCGTGCCCTCTTCACGACTGTCTTGGTGTGTTTGGACCATGATAGTTCGTTGGTGATGTGGACACCAAGGAACTTGAAGCTCTCAACCTGTTCCACTACAGCCCCGTCGATGAGAATGGGGGCGTGCTCAGTCCTCTTTTTTTTCCTGTAATCCACAATCATCTCCTTTGTCTTGGTCACGTTGAGGGAGAGGTTGTTGTCCTGGCACCACACGGCCAGGTCTCTGACCTCCTCCCTATAGGCTGTCTCATCGTTGTCGGTGATCAGGCCTACCACTGTTGTGTCGTCAGCAAACTTAATGATGGTGTTGGAGTCGTGCCTGGCCATGCAGTCATGGGTGAACAGGGAGTACAGGAGGGGACTGAGCACGCACCCCTGAGGGGCCCCCGTGTTGAGAATCAGTGTGGCAGATGTGTTGTTACCTACCCTTACCACCTGGGGGCGGCCCGTCAGGAAGTCCAGGATCCAGTTGCAGAGGGAGGTGTTTAGTCCCAGGATCCTTAGCTTAGTGATGAGCTTAGAGGGCACTATGGTGTTGAATGCTGAGCTGTAGTCAATGAATAGCATTCTCACGTAGGTGTTCCTCTTGTCCAGGTGGGAAAGGGCAGTGTGGAGTGCAATAGAGATTGCATCATCTGTGGATCTGTTGGGGCGGTATGCAAATTGGAGTGGGTCTAGGGTTTCTGGGATAATGCTGTTGATGTGAGCCATGACCAGCCTTTCAAAGCACTTCATGGCTACAGACGTCAGTGCTACGGGTCGGTAGTCATTCAGGCAGGTTATCTTAGAGTCCTTGGGCACAGGGACTATGGTGGTCTGCACCTCCCTGCTGTGTAAGGGCTATTTTACCAAGAAGGATGGTGGCAGAGTGCTGCATCAGATGACCTGGCCTCCACAATCCCCTGACCTCAACCAAATTGAGATGGTTTGGGATGAGTCGGACGGCAGAGTGAAAGAAAAGCAGCCAACAAGTGCTCAGCATATGTGGGAACTCCTTCAAGACTGTTGGAAAAGCATTCCAGGTGAAGCTGGTTGAGAGAATGCCAAGAGTGTGCAAAGCTGTCATCAAGGCAAACGGTGGGTATTTGAAGAATCTCAAATATAAATTATATTTTGATTTGATTAACACTTTTTTGGTTACTACATGATTCCATATGTGTTATTTCATAGTTTTGATGTCTTCACTATTATTTTAAAATGTAGAAAATAGTAAAAATAAAGAAAAACGCTTGAATGAGTAGGTGTTCTAAAACTTTTTACCGGTAGTGTATATTACTTAGTATATGTGGAGACATTCAATTAAGAATAGTCTGATGGGTGACAATATTATCACTTGCGAATGATGCCCAGCGTGTGCAGTAGGGCAAGAAACAGTGCATGCCTTTTTTGGGGATTTTTTCAAATCATAGTCGCACACCTCATGTTTTGATAAGGTTTGTATCACAACTAAAGTGGCCAAATAACTTCTGAAAATTAAGCACATTAATCCACTTTACAACTGGTGTAGAACCTAACTGGCATGCATAGGCGGCACGTGAGTTTCAAGTTTGGGGAATATCATTTTCACCATAGAAATGCACCTTTATAGAGCGACTTACAAATTGGTGCATTCAATTTATGATAGCCAGTGGGACAACCACCTTTAAAAAAAAAAAAATGTATGGGGGGTGGGGGAAGAAGGATTACTTGATACTATTCCAGGTATTCCTTAAAGAGGTGGGGTTTCAAGTGTCTCCGGAAGGTGGTCAGTGACTCCGCTGTCCTGGCGTCGTGGGGGAGCTTGTTCCACCATTGGGGTGCCAGAGCAGCGAATGGCTTTGACTGGGCATAAAGCATTACATGCATAATCACATTTGCGGTCGCTTTTGAGAACAGTGTTTTCCCGCTAATTGATTGCATTTTGGAACAATCCCGCTTATAGCCTACTGCCGTGTGTGCATTGCTGCGCTTATGTGAAGAAATAGCCTAATAGTTTATCAACATAGTTTATCATCGCTTTAAAAAAAAAAAGTGTTATCTAGCGACTTTTTCTGGTGTTATTGGAGACTGACGTGAAAGCACGTATCGTTCCTCCTTTTCTCAACGAGCAGCCCGTCCCAAAGCACTCACAGGCGGCGCAGTCCCTCCCAGCTGCAGTCAGAGCAGGAGATGTTCACCCCTCCACGTCCAGACTGCAAATGAATCGCACATGCGGGAAGCCGCCGCTGGCTGATCCCGCCCTGGCTTACATTCAGGGCGGGATGTAAATGTAGGGTGTTTTTTTTACTCACTTTTTGTCTCTCCCACAGCGTTATTCCTCTCTCCTACAGCGTCCATCACAATTACATGCACATGGCCAATTATGCAAATTAGGTGATGACATCATTTAGCGACTTTTAGGACAGCCAATAGCTACTTTCCTTACTGGGGAGTTGGCAACACTGTCTGAGAGAGCCATGAGAGTGAGAGGTGCTTCGGAGCACTACAATTGACAACCGGGAGGAGGGAATTATATTATTATATTCAGCCCAAGGGCACAACGCATGGATATTTTTGGGGGGCATGTTTGTATCACAACTAAAGTTGCATAAATAACTCTAAATTAAGCATATAGGAGGACCTGTTTCTTTGTTAACCGCTCAACACAGAATAGCCACATGTGCGGACTCCCAAGGAAAACGGTTGGAGAAAACATCATTTATATTTTATTCAGCCATGTTTAATTGTATTCTTCATACTATAATATAAAATAATGCCAAGGAATTGTAAGCAAATCTTGTCTGCTAAATTAACTAGTGAAGCCCACAGCCATATGGCATAGCCAGATCAGGGCTTAACATAAGGACAACTCAGAGTATGCTATGCTGTTCTTCTGAAATAGACTACATTTTCTTCATAACAGGTTTCTTTAGAGCTGTCTAAAATAAATAATGGATTTATTGTGATGGTGTAGGCTATATTAAATGGATTTAATATACTTTTTAAAATGTAGATGTTCCAAAGGTCTGCATCAGTGGCTTGTTTCAGCGGCTGACAAAATGCCATGACCGCCACAGCCCTGGGCCATCCTGTCCCAGAACGCCTAGACTCTGCTCTGGCTGTACAGCCAACTCAGTGTTACCAAACAAAGGCTTTGTCTGATACCACTGAAATACCCTGTTAAAATGCCTGAATTAAGCAAAATTGATAGCGGTTTGATCAGTAAAAGTAGATTTCGGTCAGACTGGAAACAGTGTAGGCCTAAGTGTTACATAAAGCACAGTACAAGTGGACTTAAGTAATGTTGCATTTGGAAAGTATTCAGATCCCTTGACTTTTTCCACATTTTGTTACGTTACAGACTTATTCTAAAATGGATTAAATTAAAAACGTTCCTCATCAATCTACACACAATACCCCATACTGACAAAGCGAAAAAAGGTTTTTAGAAATGTTTGCAAATGTATTAACATAAAAAACAGAAATACCTTATTTACATAAGTATTCAGACTCTTTGCTATGAGACTCGAAATTGAGCTCAGGTGCATCCGGTTTCCATTGATCATCCATTAGATATTTTACAACTTGATTGGAGTCCACCTGTGGTAAATTCAATTGATTGGACATTATTTGGAAAGGCACACAACTGTATCTAAAAGGTCCCACAGTTGACAGTGCATGTCAGAGCAAACACCAAGCCATGAGGTCGAGGGAACTGTCCGTACAGCTCTGAGACAGGATTGTGTCGAGGCACAGATCTGGGGAAGGGTACCTAACAATTTCTGCAGCATTGAAGGTCCCCAATAACTCAGTGGCCTCCATCATTCTTAAATGGAAGTAGTTTGGAACCACCAAGACTCTTCCTAGAGCTGGCTGCCCGGCCAAACTGCGCAATCGGGGGAGAAGGGCCTTGGTCAGGGAGGTGACCAAGAACCCGATGGTCACTCTGACAGAGCTCCTCTGTGGAGATGGGAGAACCTTCCAGAAGGACAACCATCTCTGCAGCACTCCACCAATCAGGCCTTTATGGCCAGATGGAAGCCACTCCTCAATAAAAAGGCACATAGCAGCCCGCTTGGAGTTTGCCAAAAGGAACCTAAAGGACTCTCAGACCATGAGAAACAAGATTCTCTGGTCTGATGAAACCGGTGTGCCAAGCTTGTAGCGGCATACCCAAGAAGGCTGTAATCGCTGCCAAAGGTGCTTCAACAAAGTACTGAGTAAAGGGTCTGAATACTTATGTAAATGTAATATTTCCATTAAAAAATGTCTAAGAACCTGTTTTTGCTTTGTCATTATGGGGTATTGTGTGTAGATTGATGAGGGAGAAAAAAACAATTTAATCCATTTTAGAACTTCCCTCATACTGGACACAGAGACATAAAAATGGTATCCACGAGTTCATCTGACTCTGGGAAAGTAGATAAAGGGCCTCATTGCCAAAATCCCCAAAGTATCCAATTAACCACTCACTGGACTTGTATTTATGGCAGAATCCGATCAGGACCACAATGAGGCAACAAGTAAAGCACCTTATTGGTTTCAAAATAGCTTTAGTTCAAGCAGAGAGAAAAAGGCTTGATTACGTAAACATTGTGGGTGAGCCTGAGATTTGACTGTAAATCGTGCCACGTCAGTTATGGGCCGTGCTACTAAAATAGATGAATCAAGCCATCTCTACTTTGTTTTGCATGAAAGAGGGACCATCACTCAACGTCATGACCTTTACTTTTTGGAAAATTCTTAATTCCATTAGTATGAGAGGTAGTAGGGAAAGTGGGCCACCTTAACCAAGAAGTGAGGGAGCTGGGAACTAATCCCCTCCAGTATTTTCAAATCAAATCACATTTTATTGATCACATGCGCCAAATACAACAGGTTTAGACCTTACAGTGAAATGCTTACTTACAAGCCCTTACCCAACAATGCAGTTAAGAAAAATAAGTGAAGTAAAAAACAACTACAAAATAAAAATAATTAAAGAGCAGCAGTAAAATAACAGTAGCGAGGCTATATACAGGGGGTACCGGTACATGAGGTAATATGTACATGTAGGTAGAGTTAGTGACTATGCATAGATAATAAACAGAGAGTAGCAGCAGCGTAAAAGAGGGGGTGGGGGGGAACAATGCAAATATCTGGGTAGCCATTTGATTAGCCGTTCAGGAGTCTTATGGCTTGGGGGTAGAAGCTGTTAAGAAGCTTTTTGTACCTAGACTTGCCGTGCGGTAGCAGAGAGAACAGTCTAAAACTAGGGTGGCCGGAGTATTTAACAATTTTTAGGGCCTTCCTCTGACACCGCCTGGTATAGAGGTCCTGGATGGCAGGAAGCTTGGCCCCAGTGATGTACTGGGCCGTATGCACTACCCTCTGTAGTGCCTTGCGGTCAGAGGCCGAGCAGTTGCCATACCAGGCAGTGATGTCACCAGTCAGGATGCTCTCGATGGTGCAGCTGTAGAACCTTTTGAGGATATGAGGACTCATGCCAAATCTTTTCAGTCTCCTGAGAGGGAATAGGCTTTGTCGTGCACTCTTCACGACTGTCTTGGTGTGTTTGGACCATGATAGTTTGTTGGTGATTGGACACCAAGGAACTTGAAGCTCTCAACCAGCTTCACTACAGCCCCGTCGATGAGAATGGGAGCGTGCTCTGTCCTCTTTTTCTTGTAGTCCACAATCACCTCCTTTGTCTTGATCACGTTGAGAGAGAGGTTGTTATCCTGGCACCACACGGCCAGGTCTCTGACTTCCTCCCTATAGGCTGTCTCATCGTTGTCGGTGATCAGGCCTACCACTGTTTTGTCGTCGGCAAACTTAGCGATGGTGTTGGAGTTGTGCCTGGCCATGCAGTCATGGGTGAACAGGGAGTACAGGAGGGGACTGAGCACGCACCCCTGAGGGGCCCCCGTGTTGAGGATCAGCGTGGCAGATGTGTTGTTACCTACCCTTACCACCTGGGTGCTGCCCATCAGGAAGTCCAGGATCCAGTTTCAGAGGGAGGTGTTTAGTCCCAGGGTCCTTAGCATAGTGATGAGCTTTGAGGGCACTATGGTGTTGAACGCTGAGCTGTAGTCAACGAATAGCATTCTCACGTAGGTGTTCCTTTTGTCCAGGTGGGAAAGGGCAGTGTGGAGTGCAATAGAGATTGCATCATCTGTGGATCTGTTGGGGCGGTATGCAAATTGGAGCGGGTCTAGGGTTTCTGGGATAATGGTCTTGATGTGAGCCATGACCAGCCCTTCAAAGCATTTCATGGCTACAGACGTGAGTGCTATGGGTCGGTAGACATTTAGGCAGGTTACCTTAGTGTTCTTGGGCACAGGGACTATAGTGGTATGCTTGAAACATGTTGGTAATACAGACTCAGTCAGGGACAGGTTGAAAATGTCAGTGAAGACTCTTGCCAGTTGCTCAGCGCATGCTCGGAGTACACGTCCTGGTAATCCGTCTGGCCCTGCGGCCTTGTGAATGTTGACCTGTTTAAAGGTCTTACTCACATCGGCTACGGAGATCATGATCACACAGTCGTCCGGAACAGCTGATGCTCTAATGCATGCTTCAGTGTTGCTTATCTTGAAGCAATTTAGCTGGTCTGGTAGGCTCGTGTCACTGGGCAGCTTGCGGCTTTGCTTCCCTTTGTAGTCTAATAGTTTGCAAGCCCTGCAACATCCGACGAGCGCCGGAGCCGGTGTAGTACGATTCAATCTTAGTCCTGTACTGACCCTTTGCCTGTTTGATGGTTCGTCGGAGGGTATAGCGGGATTTCTTATAAGCGTCCGGGTTAGAGTGCCGCTCCTTGAAAGCGGCAGCTCTACCCTTTAGCTCAGTGCGGATGTTGCCTGTAATCCATGGCTTCTGGTTGGGGTATGTACACTAACAGTCAAAAGTTTGGACACACCTACTCATTCAAGGGGTTTTCTTTATTTGTACTACTTTTTAAATTGTAGAATAATAGTGAAGACATCAAAACTATGATATAACACATGGAATCATGTAGTAACCCAAAAAAAGTGTTAAACAAATTCTTCAAAATAGCCACCCTTTGCCTTGATGATAGCTTTGCACACTCTTGGCATTCTCTCAACCAGCTTCATGAGGTAGTCACCTGGAATGCATTTCAATTAACAGGTGTGCCTTCTTAAAAAGTTGGAATTTCTTTCCTTCTTAATGCGTCTGAGCCAATCAGTTGTGTTGTGACAAGGTGGGGGGGGGGTACATAGAAGATAGCCCTATTTTGTCCAAGTCCATATTATGGCAAGAACAGCTCAAATAAGCAAAGAGAAACGACAGTCCATCATTACTTTAAGACATGAAGGTCAGTCAATATGGAACATTAAGACTTCAAGTGCAGTCGCAAAAACCATCAAGCGCTATGATGAAACTGGCTCTCATGAGGACCGCCACAGGAATGGAAGACCCAGAGTTACCTCTGCTGTAGAGGATAAGTTCATTAGAAAATTGCAGCCCAAATAAATGCTTCACAGAGTTCAAGTAACAGACACATCTCAACATCAACTGTTCAGAGGGGACTGTGTGAATCAGGCCTTCATGGTCAAATTCCTGCAAAGAAACCACTACAAAAGGACACCAATAATAAGAAGAGACCTGCTTGGGCCATGAAACACGAGCAACGGACATTAGAACAGTGGAAATGTGTCATTTGGTCTGGAGTCCAAATTGGAGATTTTTGGTTCCAACCGCTGTTTCTTTGTGAGACGCAGTGTGGGTGAACGGATGCTATTTTACCAAGAAGGAGAGTGATAGAGTGCTGCATCACATGACCTGGCCTCCACAAGCATTCCAAGTGAAGCTGGTTGAGAGAATGCCAAGAGTGTGCAAAGCTGTCATCAAGGCAAAGGGTGGCTATTTGAAGAATCTCAAATATAAAATATATTTTGATTTCTTTAACACTTTTTTGGTTACTACATGATTCCATATGTGTTATTTCATAGTTTAGATGTATTCACTATTATTCTACAATGTAGAAAATAGTAACAAATAAAGAAAACCCCTTGAATGAGTATGTGTGTCCAAACATTTGACTGGTACTGTACATACGGGTCACTGTAGGGACGACGTCATTGATGCACTTATTGATGAAGCCAGTGACTGATGTGGTGTACTCCTCAATGCCATCGGAAGAATCCCGGAACATATTCCAGTCTGTGCTAGCAAAACAGTCCTGTAGCTTAGCATCTGCGTCATCTGACCACTTCTTTATTGACCGAGTCACTGGTGCTTCCTGCTTTAGTTTTTGCTTGTAAACAGGAATCAGGAGGATAGAGTTATGGTCAGATTTGCCAAATGGAGGGCAAGGCAGAGCTTTGTACGCGTCTCTGTGTGTGGAGTAAAGGTGGTCTCGATTTCCCCCCCCCACTGGTTGCACATTTAACATGCTGGTAGAAATTAGGTAAAACAGATTTAAGTTTCCCTGCATTAAAATCCCCGGCCACAAGGAGCACCGCCTCTGGATGAGCATTTTCCTGTTTGCTTATGGCCTTATTCAGCTCATTGAGTGCGGTCTTAGTGCCAGCATTGGTTTGTGGTGGTAAATAGACAGCTACGAAAAATATAGATGAAAACTCTCTTGGTAAACAGTGTGGTCTATAGCTTATCATGAGATACTCTACGTCAGGCGAGCAAAACCTTGAGACTTCCTTAATATAAAATGTTGTGCACCAGCTGTTGTTTACAAATATACACAGACCGCCACCCCTTGTCTTATCGGAGGCAGTTGTTCTATCTTGCCGATGAAGTGTATATCCCGCCAGCTGTATGTTATCCATGTCGTCGTTCAGCCACAACTCGGTGAAACAGTTTCTAATGTCCCGTTGGTAGGATATCCATGATCGTAGTTAGTCTATTTTGCTATCCAATGATTGTACGTTGGCTAATAGGACTGATAGTAGAGGCAGATTACCAACTCGCCGTCGGATCCTTACAAGGCACTCCGACCTATGTCCCTGATATCTCTGTCTCTTTCTCATGCGAATGACAGGGTTTTGGGCCTTGTCGGGTGTCTGAAGAAAATCCTTTGCGACCGACTCGTTTAAAAAAAAATATTTGTCCAGTACGAGGTGAGTAATCGCTGTCCTGATATAGAGAAGCTCTTTTCGGTCATAATTTGTTACTTTTTATTTTACCTTTATTTAACCAGGTAAGCCATAAGAGACAGTGGCAGAAACATTATGTACAAAATAAGTTACAAATAACGTGAAAAAACACACATAATAGCACAATTGGTTAGGAGCCCGTAAAACGGCAGCCATCTCCTCCGGCGCCATTCTAAACAAGGTCTCCAGGACATTTATTAACCTCTGGGTCCTCGCCATTTAATCTGATACTCGTAGCAGAAGAGAAGCTATGCTGAAGTGCGTCACGTTCAATAAATCAGCGCTTCCTCCATTAAGACAACGCAGGGAGACAACCAGGAGCCCCGGGATAGATTATAGCTGCAGATGTAGTGAACAGAACTGTTGTGTTCATTTACCTGGAGTTCAAGTGTAGATATCTTCACGCTGTACCTACAGGGCTCTCCTGGAGACATGGCTGATGGTGAGGCACTGAGGGAGAACTGAAGCTTGTCCCCAATCACCTTGCATTGTGCAGCCTAGGGGAAGACAAGACAGTAAACAGTTACAATAGTACCATACAATAAGCGAGGGAAAACTCAAAAATGTATTTGAGGTAAAAAGGTGCTTGGTGCTAATCATGCCTAACCATAATTGTGGTATTCTTGCAAAGTGCATACATGGTTCACATTTCAATTGGTTAACCTGGTTTTCTTCCTTAATAGTTACTATGTGTTGCTTATTTTGGAACCAATTCAGTGTGTGAGAACAATCAACTAGAAATCTCAAACATGAAGCATCTCATTAAAGGCAGGTACATTTCTCCCTGCTTGACCCTCCTTGTCATTGGTTCACTCGTCTCCTTATGGTGCTTTCAAGACAACTGGGAACTCTAGAAAGATGCCTGAGTTTCCCACTTGGAATTCCGAGTTGGATGACCGTTCAAACAATTTTTCCTAGTCGGAGCTACCCCCCCCCCCCCCACCTTCCTTTTAGAAGAGGGCTGGTTGTATGAGGATCCCATAAACTTAGAGCTGGAGGTAGTAAAAATGTCCTTACTGTATGAAAACTGCAAAGAGGCTGCTATTGGCTCCAGCCAGACAATTTAAGGGGGGGGGGATGTCTGGAAGTGCCAGTGAAGCTAATGGACATTGTGTGACTCAGGATATTGGCCACTGCAGACCTGAAATTAAGTTAAATGGCTGTAGCACCAGTAGAGCAGCCCCTCTACATTGAATTACAGTGGAAGAGTGGATAGACTACAGATCCGGGTTATGACATTAGGGCATGTTGATTAGGAAAAGGCAACAGCATAAATGCTTGCTTTTCTAGCTGTAATGAATGTTAAAGAGGCCAACACTGCCAAATGAAAAATAACTGCAAAATCATGTCAGTGGCTACAGGAGAAGGAGGACGCTGCACTGGGTTCAACAATGACCCCATTGATCCAGATTCCCCCTCTTACCTCAATCTTGATTCTATCAGGAAAATAAGCATTCAAAAACAATGACAAAACCATGTTTGGGCTATAATGCATTAATGTACTGAGCTTGTCATTCTGTGTGCAATTCATTGAGAGCCATTCTGAGCCATTGGATGAGAGCCAGTCTGATACACAGGGACTTTATCTTACCTTCTGACCAGCAGACTTCTTGAAGCTGGACACTTGGCCAACCACCAGCTCTGATGACTGAAGGCCATCCTCTTCTAATGTTAGTTGCACTGGGCACTGTGTGAGTTAGGAGTACACAGGTCAGGTCAGGAGGTGATCAGCAATAGGCTATGCCCCAACAACTGCCATTATCTCAACATTACACTTCATTTTGACAGTTTCAAGTAAAGAGACAGAGAACATGGAAGAAATGGATCACGTTTTCAATTTCGTATGTTGGGAGTTTGTAGGTAGAGGGGCTTCAAGTCTTGACGGTAGCTTGAGAGATGAGGATGTTTCAACAAGGCACAGCATCAATGTATGGGAATCAAGATTGTTGACACTATTCCGTGACAAGGAGCTTGTGCTGTCACGATGCTCACCTACAGGTAAAAGTCAGTAAATTAGAATATTTTGAAAAACTTGATTTATTTCAGTAATTGCATTCAAAAGGTGTAACTTGTACATTATATTTATTCATTGCACACAGACTGATGCATTCAAATGTTTATTTCATTTAATTTTGATGATTTGAAGTGGCAACAAATGAAAATCCAAAATTCCGTGTGTCACAAAATTAGAATATTGTGTAAGGGTTACATTTTGAAGACACCTGGTGCCACAAAATAATCAGCTGATTAACTCAAAACACCTGCAAAGGGCTTTAAATGGTCTCTCAGTCCAGTTCTGAAGCCTACACAAACATGGGGAAGACTTCAGATTTGACAGCTGTCCAAAAGGCGACCATCGACACATTGCACAAGGAGGGAAAGACACAAAAGGTTATTGCAGAAGAGGCTGGCTGTTCTCAGAGCTCTGTGTCCAAACACATTAATAGAGAGGCAAAGGGAAGGAAAAACTGTGGTCAGAAAAAGTGTACAAGCGATAGGGATCACCGCGCCCTAGTCAAGATTGTGAAAAAAAAAACCATTCAAAAATGTGGGGGAGATTCACAAGGAGTGGACAGCTGCTGGAGTCAGGGCTTCAAGATCCACCACCAAGAGACGCTTGAAAGACATGGGTTTCAACTGCCGCATACCTCGTGTCAAGCCACTGTTGACCAAGAAACAGCGCGAAAAGCGTCTCACCTGGGCTAAGGAAAAAAAGAGCTGGACTGCTGCTGAGTGGTCTAAAGTCATGTTTTCTGACGAAAGCAAATTTTGCATTTCCTTTGGAAATCGAGGTCCCAGAGTCTGGAGGAAGACAGGAGAGGCACAGGATCCACGTTGCCTGAAGTCTAGTGTAAAGTTTCCACCATCAGTGATGGTTTGGGGGTGCCATGTCATCTGCTGGTGTCGGTCCACTCTGTTTCCTGAGATCAAGGGTCAACGCAGCCGTCTACCAGCAAGTTTTAGAGCACTTCATGCTTCCTGCTGCTGACCTGCTCTATGGAGATGGAGATTTCAGGTTCCAACAGGACTTGGCGCCTGCACACAGCGCAAAATCTACCCGTGCCTGGTTTACGGACCATGGTATTTCTGTTCTAAATTGGCCAGCCAACTCCCCTGACCTTAGCCCCATAGAAAATCTGTGGGGTATTGTGAAAAGGAAGATGCAGAATGCCAGACCCAACAACGCAGAAGAGTTGAAGGCCACTATCAGAGCAACCTGGGCTCTCATAACACCTGAGCAGTGCCAGAAACTCATCGACTCCATGCCACGCCGCATTAATGCAGTAATTGAGGCAAAAGGAGCTCCAACCAAGTATTGAGTATTGTACATGCTCATATTTTTCATTTTCATACTTTTCAGTTGGCCAACATTTCTAAAAAATCCCTTTTTTGTATTAGCCTTAAGTAATATTCTAATTTTGTGACACACGGAATTTTGGATTTTCATTTGTTGCCACTTCAAATCATCAAAATTAAATGAAATAAACATTTGAATGCATCAGTCTGTGTGCAATGAATAAATATAATGTACAAGTTACACCTTTTGAATGCAATTACTGAAATAAATCAAGTTTTTCAAAATATTCTAATTTACTGACTTTTACCTGTATGTGCTTAGGTCGTGTTAGGTTTATACAGATCCTGTAATCATATCTTGTTTGTTTGGCTACAGTGGATTCTTTGTAACGTCTGTCAGGGACAATTTAAAAAAAAAATGTGTAGCTACAGTCTGCTCTGTAGTTTTATAATAGTAATTTGGTAAGTGAAACAATCCTTTGGTCGACATGGGACTTGAATTTTTCAACTAACCTGCTATTAGCGATACTTTATTCGTTCTCGATTCGGGGGAAATGGTATCTTATAAATGTCCGTGTCCAGTTGCTTCTACAAAAACCAGAGAAAACTCAGATAGATTTTAAATCGACAGTAGCATCAACAACAGGTTATTTGAAAAATCCATGGCGGCGTTTTGTATAAGCTAACCTGTAACGCCCGGTAATGGAAACATATTTATCACACATCTGGCGTACGAACGGTAGCTAGACTTACCCCAGACTTCTTCGATTCGTCATTCAAAGCTCTGCACCAAGCCCCTCTCCATTTACTTTCCCAACTGTTCAGTGAAAGAGCCCATCCCAACAGAGCGTCCGCTTCCTCCGAAACCACATTGTTTTGCTCAGTCGTCTGTATCCGTTGATCGCTGTAATAATACTGTACTAGATACAGTATCAATGTAATGATGGAGGCAATGAACAGTGTAACAATGCAAAACCACTGCAAGTCTCCCAAACCGGAATTTGAAGGGAGACTATCTGAGTCCAATTCTCCCAAACCAGCATTTGAAAGACGCATTTCTGAGTCAGGCATCCTCAGCAACTGACTTGGTTAGCTAGCTATATATTTAGCTTATAACAATGGCCCCTTGAAAGTAAGACCAGTAGAAAAACATGGTCTGATGATCTTTGCAAGAAAGTCCCTGTCAGGACTAGATCCAGCTATTATAGCAATGGGAGCTAGTCTTCACAGCACAAGTTCAACCACTGAAACAGTATGCAAGCTAATGTTAGCCTCTTGTCAATAATATCCTGGTTCCTGATTGAGGCTCAACTTTCAACGAAAATACCTAAGACGATCAACTTGGCTGGCGACAGACTTCTCAAGGATGTAATCTTGCTATCTATCTGGTTTGAAAACTGCAGTCAGAAGAATGCTAGTTAGGTAGCAAACAATATAAATTGTTTCCTTTAAGTTATTGCAAGTAACGTTAGCTAGCTAAAATAACGGAGTATTATTCGAGTACGTTAAGTTAGACCAAGCTTCTAAGCAAGTTCCACTCAGCTCTAGCTGAACAACATTGTATCAAATGCCTGTCTTTGGCTAGCTAGCCAACAACAGTATATTAGCTACACATAGCTACGAGCTTTTCATAACAGTTAGCTAGCTTCAGACCTTTCTCTCGTTCACATTGCTAGCTATATAGTAAGGTACAGTAGCTAGCTAACTTAGTTAGCAAGTTAGATAGATGCTACCTAATAACACGTAGTCCAAAATGTAATATCCATGAATTATTTCTGACGTCCGTGGTATAAAACAAAGTGAAAGTAATTTGTTGCCAGCTTTAAACGACGGGAAAACAAATGATAATTATAAATCCTCATCACAAGTTTGCAGAACACCTCCGATACCAACGATGACCGAAATCGAAAACTTGCGAATGTAATATATGTGGCATGAACTGTTATTCCCAGAGTGCATAGCGATATTTTAAAGTACCCCATGTGCGCCTTGTTTTAACCTCTTGTGGGTCTTTCGAAACTATCAATTATATCTTCAAATACATTTTCTTATATAATAAAATCAGCTTTTTGATGCAGAAATAACTGCAATTACATAGCTATTATCGATACACATTTTTACACATTTTGTTACGTTGCAGAGATACAAGGCTCGGATTGGACCAAACTACAATCCGTAGATTTTTCAGTGTTGTGTTTACAGAAATGGCTCCTCCCCTCTTTAGTATGAACGACGACATGACACTTTGTGTCAGCAAGTTATTATGAATAAATACATTTAAAGAACATAGCTAGCTAGCAACAACATATTTTGCAATATTCATCAAGGGGGTCTGAAAGTTGCGCGTTCTCTTGATAACCATCGAACTTGCTCGAGGGAAATAACGTTTGATGCGCGTTATAGCTAGCTACTCACAATAGCTATCTAACAGTAGCAGCTAACGTCCGCTAGCTAGCTCATTTTGATGTTAGGCCAGTTTTATGCAACGTAAACAACCGTTGAAGGGTGTTTCAACAGCTTGCTAGTTTCCCCATATATTCAATCTGCCGCTGTGGGGAAGCAGATCACCATGAACTGCCGTTCAGAGGTTCTGGAGGTGTCGGTGGAGGGAAGACAGGTCGACGAGGCTATGTTGGCTCTGTTGCACACTATCCTATTGCATCGCAGCACTGGGAAATTTCACTACAAGAAAGAGGGCACCTACTCCATTGGCACTGTTGGCACACAGGACATTGACTGCGACTTTATTGATTTCAGTTTTGTTCGTGTTTCTTCAGATGAGCTTGACAGGGTCATCAGGAAAGCAGTGGGCGAATTCAAGGTAGGCCTCTCAGATGAATCTGATTGTTTGGCTATTGAAATTGATATTGACATTATATATTAAAACATGTAGCTAGCTGTAGTTGTTTTTTACTGGCATCCATTGACCTCTGGATCTATGTTGTGCTTTACAGGATGCCATGGGCAATGGGACTGATGGAATGGGACAAATTTCACTGGAGTTCTACCAGAAAAAGAAGTCTCGCTGGCCTTTCTCTGATGAGTGTATTCCCTGGGAGGTCTGGAGCATCAAGGTCAATGTCGTCAACCTGGCCAACGAGCAGGAGAGACAGATCTGCCGGGAGAAAGTGGGAGAGAAGCTGGGCGAGAAGGTGATCAACATTGTGGAGGTGATCAACCAGCACGAGTACCTACCCAAGATGCCCACCCAGTCGGAAGTGGACAATGTGTTCGACACCAGCCTCAAAGACGTACAGCCTTACCTGTACAAAATCACTTTTCAGATCACTGATACGCTGGGCACCTCAGTGAGCACCACCATGAGAAGGCTGATAAAAGACACCTTAGCACTGTGAGGGAGCCTCAAGATGATTTGCATCTTAAAACATGGCTTTGGGTAGCCTGGTTCCAGATCTGTTTGTGCTGTCTTGCCAACTCCTATAGTTGTGACCGTAGGATGACCATAGAAGTTGCCAAAACAACACAAACAGATCAGGGACCAGGCTGTGGGCTTTATTGACTATGGGATGTAATTGCTTCATGTTAGAAGCACTGGTAGTACGCTAGAAGTACCACCATCAAATGTCTAATCCGTTTTATTCACATTTGTAAGCAGTCATTTTAGGATCCTAGTTATCTATCCCTATTCTTTCACTAAATGCCTTCGTCAACACTGAAACATGACCTTTCACATCCGATAGTACAGAGTATAAAATTGAAGGACAATTTGAGCTTTTATGTTTTTGTATGAAGAAAGTGCTGCAAAAGTAGCAAGTCTGTCTGAAACAGGTTTTCATTTAATAACTGCTTTAAGTAATTGTAAAGTAACTATCTTATTTATGTTTGACATTTGCTTCTGTTATAAGAAAATAATGTGCAGAAAGATGTTTCACTTTTGAAAATAAAATGGGTCATCCTAATTAATTTCACATTCCCAATTGTTATTCTAGAAAACCACCTGGTTCTGTGCTTACTGATGTTAATTAAGGACAAGACAGACCAACACGAACTTCGGCCGTGCGCAGTGGGTTGCCGTCCTTTTGCATCTGACCACAGAACATCGGTCGTAATTTTCTGTTAATTTCCTGACTCTACACGTTGAATCGCCACGCTTCTTCCACACCCAGCAGGTGATTTACTGCAGATGGCCGACATTCGTGTTGGTCTGTCTCGTCCTTTACGGGTTCAAATTTGTGCAGTATATTCAAAGACAGTACAGTATGAAGATAGGCAGAAACTGCTTCTACAATAGACAGTGGCGATTTTAGCATGTAAATGTTGGGATGTTTTTTGGGATGATTGCCATTAAAGCCACTACACTACACAACACAACACTAAACAATACATTAATTGGACTATAACGGTGACAAACGGTGTCCACAAACTGTTAGGGCCTACATAAAGCTGTCCCAACAGCAGTCCCAACACCTTACCAATGTTACACCTGGCTATCAGCAGAGCCTTGTCTGGCAGCGAAACAGTTCATTCAGCCTCATTTACTGCCTTTTAAAAAAACATAGCTGATATGGCTGACTTGCTTAAACAATTGTGGTTTCTACTGACAATTGAGATGTACAAACTATGGCATACGGAGACAACGAGCGGATAAAAGCCAATCCGTAATTTTGATTAAGACATTAATGAACGAGCTAGGACGGACGTAGTTTTTTATTTATTTATTTTTATTTCACCTTTATTTAACCAGGTAAGCCAGTTGAGAACAAGTTCTAATTTACAACTGCGACCTGGCCAAGATAAAGCAAAGCAGTGTGATAAAAACAACAACACAGCGTTACATATGGGGTAAAAAAACAAAGTCAAAAAATACAACAGAAATATATATACAGTGTGTGCAAATGTAGCAAGTTATGGAGGTAAGGCAATAAATAGGCTATAGTGCAAAATAATTACAATTAGTATTAACACTAGAATGCTAGATGTGCAAGAGATTATGTGCAAATAGACATACTGGGGTGCAAAAGAGCAAAATAAATAACAATATAGGGATGAGGTAGTTGGGTGGGCTAATTTCAGATGGGCTGTGTACAGGTGCAGTGATCGGTAAGGTGCTCTGACAACTGATGCGTAAAGTTAGTGAGGGAGATAAGAGTCTCCAGCTTCAGAGATTTTTGCAATTCGTTCCAGTCATTGGCAGCAGAGAACTGGAAGGTATGGCGGCCAAAGGAGGTGTTGGCTTTGGGGATGACCAGTGAGATATACCTGCTGGAGCGCAGACTACGGGTGGGTGCTGCTATGGTGACCAATGAGCTAAGATAAGGCAGGGATTTGCCTAGCAGTGATTTATAGATGGCCTGGAGGCAGTGAGTTTGACGACGAACATGTAGTGAGGACCAGCCAACAAGAGCGTACAGGTCACAGTGGTGGGTAGTGTATGGGGCTTTGGAGACAAAACGGATGGCACTGTGATAGACTACATCCAATTTGCTGAGTAGAGTGTTGGAGGCTATTTTGTAAATGACATCGCCGAAGTCAAGGATCGGTAGGATAGTCAGTTTTACGAGGGCATGTTTGGCAGCATGAGTGAAGGAGGCTTTGTTGTGAAATAGGAAGCCGATTCTAGATCTAACTTTTGATTGGAGATGCTTAATGTGAGTCTGGAAGGAGAGTTTACAGGCTAACCAGACACCTAGGTATTTGTAGTTGTCCACATACTCTAGGTCAGACCCGCCGAGAGTAGTGATTCTAGTCTGGTGGGCGGGTGCAAGCAGCGTTTGATTGAAGAGCATGCATTTAGTTTTACTAGTGTTTAAGAGCAGTTGGAGGCTACGGAAGGAGTGTTGTATGGCGTTGAAGCTCGTTTGGAGGTTTGTTAACACAGTGTCCAATGAAGGGCCAGATGTATACAAAATGGTGTCGTCCACATAGAGGTGGATCCGAGCGTCACCAGCAGCAAGAGCGACATCATTGATATACACAGAGAATAGAGTTGAGAATTGAACCCTGTGGCACCCCCATAGAGACTGCCAGAGGTCCAGACAACAGGCCCTCCGATTTGACACATTGAACTCTATCTGAGAAGTAGTTGGTGAACCAGGCGAGGCAGTCATTTGAGAAACCAAGGCTATTTAGTCTGCCAATAAGAATGCAGTGGTTGACAGAGTCGAAAGCCTTGGCCAGGTCGATGAAGACGGCTGCACAGTACTGTCTATTATCGATCGCGGTTATAATATCGTTTAGGACCTTGAGCGTGGCTGAAGTGCACCCATGACCAGCTCGGAAACCGGATTGCATAGCGGAGAAGGTACGGTGGGATTCGAAATGGTCGGTGATCTGTTTGTTAACTTGGCTTTCAAGTACTTTCGAAAGGCAGGGCAGGATGGATATTGGTCTGTAACAGTTTGGATCTAGAGTGTCACCCCCTTTGAAGAGGGGGATGACCGCGGCAGCTTTCCAATCTCTGGGGATCTCAGACGTTACGAAAGAGAGGTTGAACAGGCTAGTAATAGGGGTTGCGACAATTACGGCGGCTAGTTTTAGAAAAAAAGGGTCCAGATTGTCTAGCCCAGCTGATTTGTAGGGGTCCAGATTTTGCAGCTCTTTCAGAACATCAGCTGTCTGAATTTGTGTGAAGGAGAAGCGGGGGGGGGGGGGGGGGGGGGGGGGGGGGGGGCATGGGCAAGTTGCAGCGGAGGGTGCAGAGTTGGTGGCCGGGGTAGTGGTAGCCAGGTGGAAAGCATGGCCAGCCGTAGCAAAATGCTTGTTGAAATTTTCGATTATTGTAGATTTATCGGTGGTGATAGTGTTTCCTAGCCTCAGTGCAGTGGGCAGCTGGGAGGAAGTGCTCTTATTCTCAATGGACTTTACAGTGTCCCAAAACTTTTTGGAGTTAGTGCTACAGGATGCAAATTTCTGTTTGAAAAAGTTAGCCTTTGCTTTCCTGACTGATTGTGTATCTTGGTTCCTAACTTCCCTGAAAAGTTGCATATCGCGGGAGCTATTTGATGCTAATGCAGTACGCCACAGGATGTTTTTGTGCTGGTCAAGGGCAGTCAAGTCTGAGGAGAACCAGGGGCTATATCTGTTCTTAGTTCTGTATTTTTTGAATGGGGCATGTTTATTTAAGATTGAGAGGAAATTACTTTTAAAGAACAACCAGGCATCCTCTACTGACGGAATGAGATCTATATCCATCCAGGATACCTGGGCCAGGTCCATTAGGAAGGCCTGCTCGCTAAAGTGTTTTAGGGAGCGTTTGACAGTGATGAGGGGTGGTCGTTTGACCGCGGACCCGTTACGGATGCAGGCAATAAGGCAGTGATCGCTGAGATCCTGGTTGAAGACAGCAGAGGTGTATTTAGAGGGTAAGTTAGTCAGGATGATATCTATAAGGGTACCCATGTTTACGGATTTAGGGTTGTACCTGGTAGGTTCGTTGATAATATGTGTGAGATTGAGGGCATGTAGTTTGGATTGTAGGATGGCCGGGGTGTTAAGCATATCCCAATTTAGGTCACCAAGCAGTACGAACTCTGAGGATAAATGGGGGGCAATCAATTCACATATGGTGTCCAGGGCACAGCTGGGGGCTGAGGGGGGTATGTAGCAAGCGGCAACAGTGAGAGACTTATTTCTGGAAAGGGGGATTTTTAGAAGTAGAAGCTCAAACTGGTTGGGCACAGACCTGGATAGTATGATAGAGCTCTGCAGGCTATCTCTACAGTAGATTGCAACTCCACCCCCTTTGGCAGTTCTATCTAGACGGAAAATGTTATAGTTGGGGATGGAATTTTCAGAATTTTTGGTGGCCTTCCTAAGCCAGGATTCAGACACTGCTAGAACATCAGGGTTGGCGGAGTGTGCTAACGCAGTGAATAACTCAAACTTAGGAAGGAGACTTCTGATATTAACATGCAAGAAACCAAGGTTTTTACGGTTACAGAAGTCAACAAATGATAGCGCCTGGGGAGTAGGAGTGATACTGAGGGCTGCAGGGCCTGGGTTAGCCTCTACATCACCAGAGGAACAGAGGAGGACTAGAATAAGGATACGGCTAAAGGCTTTAAGAACTGGTCTTCTAGTGCGTTGGGTACATAGAATAAAGGGGGCAGATTTCCGGGCGTTGTAGAACAGATTCAGGGCATTATGTACAGACAAGGATATGGAAGGATATGAGTAAAGTGGAGGTAAACCTAAGCGTTGGGTAACAATGAAAGAGATAGCATCACTGGAGGCACCGATTGAGTCGGTCTCCGCGTGTATGGGGGGTGGGACAAAGGAGCTATCTAAGGCAGGTTTAGCTGGGCTGGGGGATCTACAGTGAAATAGTACAATTAGAAATAACCGAAACAGCAATAAGCAAACCATATTGACATGGGAGAGAGGCATAAAGCAATCACAGGTGTAATTTGAGAGAGCTAAGGACAACAGCTGGTAATGGCGACACAGTTTGGGCTGAGGCTAAACAT